TCATCTCTATTACTCCTATCTTGGACTCAGCTGTGAGCTCCAGCAGTCCTCCACACTGCCAGGAGCAACCTTTCTTAAGGCTCAGATGAAGCTTCCTTTTGCAGTGGCTGCTCCATCATTTGCAGACATGGGGAATGCAATTGGCTCTCTCATTATGCTGGGGAAGGGCCAACGGGAGGAGGAAGAGGACTCAGTTCTGCTGTCAGAGGAGCACAGTCTGATCCTGACCTGCTGTTGGGTGTCAGTGAAGGTAGGAGCATCTCCCCATGGAACAGCCCAGTTGCTGGGCATCTACCCTCACTGGTGACGGGGCAGAGGAGCAGTGTACTTACCTGGAGGCTAGCATAGCTTTTGCCTCTCTCCTGGGAAGTGGAGTAGAAGACAAAAGATGGAGAGACTGCAGCTTTCCATCTCCAAAAGCAACCCTCCCCCCCTTCCTCACTGCTCTTTTATAGCTCAGCTGCTTTCCCAGCACTGATAATGCCCAGCTGGGCAGGAGCTGGGCTGGCCCTGCTCACAGCCCTGCAGCTGTATTGAGCTGCACTGAAGGTACCTGTCACAGCTCCCTTCTGACAGCACCCATCACAGCCTCTTACCTAAAGCCTGCCCAGCAACAGCCTGGAAAAAGAACATTTCTGCTATGCAGGGCTTGCAGCAGGCTGAGAAAATGCTGCAGAGGCTGTGTGCTCAAAAGCATCTTGGTGGTCATGGGCTGAGCAATAGCAGTCCTTGCTGGGCAGCCCTGCCACGGTGGGCATAGGGAGGACAGAATTGTTGGGCAGCTCTGCTGCCTCCTCCACACCCTGGCTCTCCCCAGGAAGTCGGGCTGCTGCTGGGAGGCCTGGCTGAGCTGCTGCTGTCATCCCCTGGAACAAAGCACCTCCTGCCCCTTGCCAGCCTGCAGACAGCTGCAACAGTCTTCCAAGAGATCCTGCTGCGGTGCCGGCACTGGGTAAGCACATGGCCTGCCTGGGGTGAGCTCGGCCTCTCTCCCACCCTTCCTGATCCATCCTGCAGCCCTGGGGGCTGTGGGAGGGTGGAGAGCAGGGAATCCTGACATCACTCCGCCCTAGGGAGCAGTGGAAGGCTGCAGCATGGGCTTCACCAAGTTCTGCGCTGCTCTGCTAAACCACCCCGATACAGAGATGCAGGTGATCCCGCAGATCATACTGGACCAGGTACTGTGCCTGTTCCTGCTTGCGTTCCACTCATCTCCAGCATCCATATCCTCCAGCCCTGGGAGGATGCTGCAGGGTGGTGCTGGCTGCTCCCTGCAGGGAGGCTGCGGGCTCCACCAGGCAGGTTTCACCCGTCTGGATGGGCTTTGTTTCTCAGGGGTTAGAAGCACTGAGTGGACCCCGGAGCAGCTCAATAACGCGCCGTGCTGCTGGCTTCCCCATGCTCTTCCTCTGCATTGTCAGTGGGGAAAACCCAGCCCAGGCACGTCCACTTCTGACCCGCTGCATCCAGACACTGCTGGGACTGGCCACCATGGCCCTGCCACAGGATTGGGACCAAACCCTTGACCTCCCACAGGTGACTGCAGTGCACACTGATCCCTTTGCCATTAAAGCCAACTTGGGAATGGGGTGGTCTGCACAGAGCCCCTCAGAGGGATCTGTCTGCATTGGCTACTGCAGCATGAGGCTGTCAGTGCCTGGTGCAGCACGGCTGAGCTCAGACACTCTCTTTCAGGTGTGTGCCCTGCACGTGCTGCAAACATTGGTGCGTGGTGCAGGGCTGGGCACTGCGCTGCTGCGGCATGCTACACCAATGGTGGCCCTGGCACTGCAGGGACTGAGCTCGCCTTGCTGGGCCATGAGGAATGCGGCCATCCAGCTCTTCAGTGAGTACCCCAGCCCTGCAGCGGTGCCCATGGGGAAACAGGAACCAGAACTGCACTCCACAGCACGGGTGCACATCCTCATCCCTTCTTTTGGGTGGATCCCAGGGCTGGAACGTGGCATTGCCCTTCAGCAGTGTTTGATGTGCTCTCTCCCCACAGGTGCTCTCACCACACGGCTGCTGGGCCAGAAGCAGAGCAGTGCTGAGGGCTGCCTGGTGGAGGGGCTGAGCCTGCCCGCGTTCCTAGGGCAGCACCCGCAGCTGGGTGCTGTGCTGCTGGCCGAGCTGAGGGCGGCTGTGCCAGGGGGACCTCACCTGCGCCCTGCGCTGCACGCCATCCTCACACTGCTGGCACAGCTGCAGCCTGGCCCCGATGACCCCAGCGGGTAAGGCAGAGTGCTGGCAGTAGATGTTCACTCCTCGGCGTGTCACCACACTGTGCCTGTTTTACTCTGTAGTCCCTCCACTCACTTTCTGGAGCCGCTGCTGGAGCTGGCAGGGAGCCCCATCTATGCCGTGCGAGCCATGGCTGCCAAAGCTCTGATTCCTGTCATCCCACCGTCCCAGCGCCCGGCTCTGCTTCTGCATCTGGCCCAGCAGCTTCCTGCACCCGGGGGGATCAGCTCACACAACACCCTGCATGGGCACCTGCTGCAGATGCAGGCACTGCTGGCCCCCCACCCAGGCACCGACGGGTGAGTGACCCTGCATTGCCCCATGGCTGTGGTGCCTCTCTGTCTGGGCCCCACGGTGAGGGTGTGTGTCCCCACAGGCTGCCTGCTGAGGCCTTGCATCCTGTGGCCCTGCAGCTGGAGGCGCAGGGCTGGCTGCTCAGCCCTGCCCAGCGCTGCCCGCTTGTCCGTGCTGCCTTCCTCCAGGTGCTCGCCCTCCTGCCCAGCTCCCTCAGCCCCAGCTTCACACAGAGCATCTGGGATGCTGTCAGTGCTGAGCTGGGCAACCTCAAACTGGGCAGGGAGCCGGGCTGTGCTGAGCTGCAGGTACTGCTCCTGTTCCCTGCTGTAAAGCTTAGGGCATGGGAGGTGGGAGCCCATCCTTGTCCTGTGCCCAGGAGCAGAGCACTGAGAGAAGGTCTCTGTTTTCCTCCAGGTGGGTGCAGCTATTCTACACCAGACTATGGCCCGCTTTGCTTGCAGTGAGGCAGCCCGACAGGCTGACAGCAAGAGAATCCACACTGTCTGCTCACTTCTGCAACATCCGCACCCCGATGTCCACCTTGCTGTGCTGAGCTGGGTGACTGATGGGAAAAGAGCAGAATGCGAGGAGCTAGAAAGGGCCCTCCATCTGACACTGCTGGTACAGTGGGGCTCAAAATCACAGATCCAAAGTGGGACACTAATGCACAGTAGTCCCCCCTTGTCCCTCATTGACCTCTTGGGAGGAGGCACAGCTTCAGTGCACCCTCAGGTGCTGCTCAGGACAGCGTTTCTGAGGGCTTTGCTGATGGGGAGTACTGACCTTGTCCATTCTTTCCTGTTGTTGACCAGGAGAACTTACAGTCAGTGCTGCAAGACAGAGGGAACAAAGAGTTCCTGAGATTGTACCTTGAAGCTCTGATGCATCTTTGCAGAAGCTGCCCATCTTGGTCTCGGGAAGCTTCCCAGAAGCTCCAGGGCTCTGCCTTAGCATGTGTGGAAATACTGCTCCTTGTGATGGAGACAGAGCGCCCTGGTCCAGAGCTCCTCTCCCAGGCGCTGTGTGCTGCCAGCCTGCTGCTCACTGTGGGGTAGGGCTGTGGGATCAGAGCCCTGGGCTTTGTGCCTGGATCCTGTGACCTCCAGGTGTTCCGTAAGCCAGGAGCTGTGTCAGACCACTTCCTCTGCTCCACTCAGGTTTGGGGCCGAGAATGCCCTGCTGGTACAGCAGTGGTGCACGATGCTGGAGGTGTGTGGCCAACCCGTGGCAGATGAGGTGCTGCGGCTGGCAGCTGCGTGCTCCCTGCAGACAGCAGGCACCGAGATGCTGCGGCAATGCCGGGGGGCTTCTTGCCCCTGGCTCGTCCCTGTGGCACTGCGGTAGGTCCTGAGCAGCCCTGTATGTGTGCTCCCTCCTCTGCTGCACCCACTGGGCATGCAGCAATGCTTTCCTTCCTCCGCAGGGTGATAAACATGAGCATTCACCTCCTGCAAGATGAGGACCCTGATGTACGGCATGAGGCTGCAGGCTTTGTGAGCCTAGTCCAGCATGGCCAGGGGTGGCCAGGAGGAGATGGCTGCATCTTTGTGCAGGGCAATGTGGGGCTTCTGAGCCTCCTACAGCTCCTCCTGGATGAGTTTGGGCATCACCCCGAGACCTTCAGCTCACTGCTGCAGCACCTGCCCCAGCCCAACCTCAGGGCCATCATAGAGGACCTGGAGGCTGACACGTGAGTACAGCCCCCTGTAAGGGTTGGGAAGGGAGGAGCATTGGGTGGCAAGAGGTTTTATGTCCCCACTGCTCCCCTGCAGCCCCCCCCAGCCTGTACAAGGAGGATGAGCCCAATGTGTTTGCAGAGCCAGCCGCCCTGGCGCAGCAGCTGCTGCCCTTCCTGCTGCAGCTCCTGGAGAAGGCTCCCAGCTCTGCCCTGCACTGGCTGCAGGCTGCAGGCCCCGGTGTGCTGCAGGACCTGCACTACTGCCAGCAGCGATGGAGCCACGGTATGGTGGCAGCCCTGGGCTGGGAAACCTGTGGTCCCAAAGAGCCCAGTGCTCACTGGACCTTCTGTTACTCTCCCTGCAGAATCAGCTGCACGCTGCTGGATGAAGGCGCTGGGCTGTGCCGTGCTGCGTGCTGCCTTGGCCCTGCTGCTGGTGAGGGCGCAGCTGGTTGCCCGTGTGCTCCGCGTGCTGGGTGAGGAGCATGGAGCTGTGCTGGGGTTAGACTGTGGTGCCCAGGAACTGGAGCAGGAGCTGGCTCTGGTGCAGGGGCTACTGGCACAGCACGGGCTGGGCCCTGCTCCCCGACAGAGCACTGTGCCGGCAGAGCAGGGAGAAGCACATGGGGACGGCTGATGGCTGTGGGCACGGAGCAATGTCACCGAGGGGTTCTGCTTCTCGTGGCCGCATCCTGACGTTTTTTGGGTGCTCCCTGCAGCATGGCTGCGGGTACAGGGGTGGAACTCAGGGGTAGCAGGATGCATCCACTCCCTTTGTGCCTGGATGCGGCAGCAGCAGCAGCAGCGGGCAGGGCACAGCGGCGGCTCCGTCCCACCGCCACCGGTGCGGCATCACCCGCACCTCTCCTGCGCTGCTCGCTGGGGTCCGGCTGGGAGGATGGGACGTGCACAGGCGCTCTCCTTGTTACCCCGCTGCCCTCCCACCACCTTTTTTATCCGGTGTTTTAGCTGTATTTTGCGCCCAGCCCGGGTTTTCTATTGCAAATAAAGAGCCCCGCAGCAGCCGCGCCGTGAAAGCCTCTCCCTGCCAGAGATTGCGGGCTCAGCGCGTCCGGCCGGCCTCCGCGGGGCTCCCGCTGCTCCGCCCCGGTACCGGCTCCGCCCCGGCGCGGAACAGGACGCGGCACATCCGCTTCCCGCGGCGGCCCGGCCCGGTGGAAGGTGAGAGCCGGGGGCGGAGGACTCGGGAGCACGGGGCGGGGGGAACCCCTGAGCCCCCGTCCCCGCCGCAGGGCGGTATGAGCGCGGCCAAGCCCAAGCGCATCAAGTTCTCGGACGAGGAGAAATTCCTCATCCTGGAGGAGTTCAGCCTCCGCAAGGACATCCTCATCCCCAAGAGCGGCCGCTACCGCAACACGCAGGACCGGCAACGCGCGTGGGAGGAGATCGCGGCTGCCGTCAACGCGCTGAGCCCGGTGGTGCGGCGGACGGCCGAGGAGATCCGCAAGAAGTGGCATAACATGGTGCTGGACGCGCGCCGGGAGCTGGCGGCCGACAAACACCCGCTGCTCCGCCAGCGGCCCCAGGAGCGGCTCTTCCATCACATCTTCGCCCTCTTCAACAAGCCCGGCCCTCCGCCCGCCCCGTCCTTCGGGCTCCCCGCTGCCGCCCCCGAGCCGCTGCCGCGCGGCCCCGCTCCGGAACGCTTCCCCGGCCCCGAGGAGCGGCCGCTGCCCGGCGCGGAGAGCAGACTGCAGCCCGCCCCAGGACCGGCCGCCCCCCGGGCCGCCCAGCCGCAAGGCGCAGCCCCCGGACCTCCGCCTGGCAACCCCGAGCCGCCCCGCGTTAAGTGCCCGCCGAGCCCCGCGCTGGCGTGGCCGTGCCTCGAGGCCATGGCGAGTCCCGCATCGCTGGGAACGGGCAGCCCCGGGCCCCCGCACGACAACGGTGAGCCCCCAATCCGTGCTGGGACTCCCGATCCCATTTCCAACACCGGAGTGAGGTTCTGCATCCACTTCGGGCAGCGATGCTGCAGCAGTTTGGTGATATCTCCCTTTTGCCCTCACCAGAACCCCATTCCCACTCCCCTCCTAGCCTTAACGCCTTCCCTCACTCCGTGCAGGTGGCACAGCGGCCTCCGAGGAGCTGTCAGAAAAGCAGAGGCGGCTGCACACCGAGATCCTGGAGCTGCAGAAGGAGACCCTGCAACTGCAGAAGGAGAAGATCGTGCTGGAAAAGGAGAAGCTCCTCCTGGAAATCCTGAAGCTGCGCAGGGAGTTGGGCACGTGAGGGGCTGCGGGGTGATGCCAGGAGCCCTGTGCTGCTGCTCCTGGGGATATTGAACATTTTGGGACTTGCCGGGTGCCCACACAGGGACTGCTGGGTGCTGTGGTGCATGGGGCTGATATAAAGTGAGCCATGGGGGATGGGGGTATGGTGCTGTATGGCTGAGGTGGGGGCCTCAGCTGAAGCCACCTGAGGGTGGCAGGGGGGGACAAGCAGGCACTGGGGACAGCAATGTTGGTGCCATCTGATGATAAAATTGTTAAGATTCGAGAAGACCTCTGTTATCATTGAATCCAACTATTGATCCGTTGCTACCATGCCCAATAAATCACATCCCCAAGTGTCACACCTCCATGGATGGTGACACCACCACTTCCCAGCCTGGTCCAATGCTTTGCTGCTCTTTCAGAGCAGAATTTTTCTTAATACCCAACCTGAGGGCACTCTGCCCCGAACAGCATCGCCACAGCCATGCCCTTGCTTTCGGTGCCACCTTTAATTGTGCTCCTCACACCACACCAAGCAGCCGAGATGCCCTTAAAGGAATTGGGCTCTGCTCACCTATACAAAGATGAATGCTGGGGGTGGACAGGCGCAGCCCTCCTGCAGAGCCTCCCGTACCCACGAGCCCTGGCACCCTGCTATGAAGGTGGCCACCCAAAACGTCCTGTAAGGAAAACCCAGCAAATGTTGTCCTGCTGTAAAAAAATATAGATGCTAAATTATCATTTTTAATGGGGAGGAAGATGGAATGCCTCTCGGAAGTGCCCTTAGGGCACATGGCATTTCCCAAAGGACATTCCTCCCCACATTTGCCTACCTGGCTCCTTGCACCCCGTATCCATCACACTGGGGATGCCCATGGGCTGTGTCCCCCCAGCACTCAACGCACACCCGCCTGTCCCGCTGTAGCCGGCGGCTCCAGGGCTGCCCACGACAGGCAGGTGCCACCTGCGTCAGGCGGAAAAAGCTGCAGGAGATGGGGAGGTGGGAGCTGGTTTGGGGAAAAATAATGGTTGGAAGTAAAGTGTTTGCTTTATAGGAGCTTACAGGGGTTCTGCAGGGGGTTGGGGATAGGGTGTGCAAAGGGGTCATAGCCCCATACCTACCTGGGTGACTCCTCTGACTGCTGCATCCCAGTTCTGCGCCAGGGATCCCTGATGTCTGGGCTGAAGGAATCGGGGAGCAGTTTGGCCACCCCTGGCACAGAGCAGCAATGGTGAGGTGGTGACAGTCACTACAGTGCAGGGCTAGGAGGGGGTCCTGCATTACCTTTGGCAGCCCCACAGGCCGGGTCATCCCCCAGGCACCCACGGCGCTGCTTGAGGTCGGGACAGGGCTCCCCGCCGTGCCGGGGGGGCACAGTGACCTGGCGGCTGCGGTCTTTGCTGCCCACCCCACATGGGGAGCTGCAGCTGCTCCAGGGCCCCCAAGGCCCCACTGCACAGCCCACTGCTGAGAAGAGAGAAAAAGAGATTCAATAGCGTAGAAGAAGAAGGAATGGGAGCAGGGAGAATCTGCGCACAGCAGGGAGAAGGGGGACCCCCGTGGTTCAGCCCCACAGCATAGTGTGCTTTTATTGTCAGGCTCTGCATCGAGCTGAGCTGGGACCTCACTAATCTCTGTGGAGATTACGGAGCGCTGACAGTGCTGATGTCCAGCACAGCCCCTGACCCTGAGCAGCAGTGATAGGCGTGTGGCTCAGCCCTTGGTACCCACATCCCAAAAATCAGCTCTGGGGCTCGCAGTGACAGCACTGCTGCTGCTGTCATGTCCAGCTGCAGAACACGCTGCGGGATCCCTCACTGAACAGAGTAAAAAGCAGAAAACCGGGACGGCGTTTGAGACACACGCACCTACAGCCCCAGCTGTAACACAGCCCATCACCTCTCACAGGGACCACTGACGGGAACAGCTAAACCTCACCGACACAACACCCACCACCCTCACCCTGCCCCACTGCTCACCGGCACGGCGGCACGCAGCCTGGTAGTCCTGGCAGCAGTCACCTGTCCTCTCACAGTACGAGTCGCAATAGCAGCGAGTGTGGCGTGCACTGCTGGCCCAGCAGGCGTTGTTCCTGCCTGGGCAACAGCGGTGCCGGCAGCCACCCAGCACGTAGCCAGCAGCCAGCAGCCACCCCCCACACAGCAGCAGCCCCTGCATGCTGCCGCAGTGCCCGGCTGTCCCCCGAGAGGCCGGGCTGCACCGCACCGCCCCTTGCCTGGATGTGGGGATCAAGCGCCTTTCGTTCTGCTCCAGTGCCCCGGCGCCTGGCTGTACACACATCCCCATCCCAACCACCTTGCTGAGCTGAGCTGGGTGACCAATGGAGAGGGAGCAAAGTGCAAGGAGCTGGAGTAGCCCTTCTAGCTGATGCTGCTGGTAAGGTGCAACTCCAAGTAGGGCATTACTGTACCACATCCCTTCTTGCCCCCTTGGGAGGAAGGACAGGTCCATAGCACCTTGTCAGAGTGTGTCCAGAGGAGGGTCGCAAAACTAGCTTAAGGGATGGAACACCTTCTCTATCAGGAAAGGCTGAGAGAAGGGCTGCGAAGCTGTGCAGCCTGGAGAGCAGAAGGCTCCAGGGAGAGCTGAGAGTGGCCCTTCAGTATCTAAAGGGGCTGTAAGAAGGAAATGACAGATTTGTTAGCAGGATCTACGTGACAAGACAAGGAGAGATGGTTTCAAACTAAAAGAGGAGATTTAGGTTGGGTATAAGGAATTTGTTTGCAATGAGAGTGGTGAGGTACTGCACAGGGTGCCCAGAGAGCCGGTGCTGTCCCATCCCTGCACACAGCCTCGCTCAGGGCACGGGGCTGTGAGCACTGCTGGAGCTGTGGGTGTCCCTGTGCACTGCAGGCACTGGGAACAGAGGGCCTTCGGGGGTCCCTTCCAACTCCAACCATTCTATGATTTTATGATCCTCCAGCGCTGCTCAGGGCAGCGTTTCTGATGGGGAGCACCTACCATGCCCCTCCTTACTCGTCGCTGACCAAGAGGGCTTACAGGCAGGGCTGCCAGACTGAACGAAAATCACTACTTCCAGTCTTCCGCTCTGCCTGTATCTATAGCGATCTTCCAGGCAGCAATACACATGCGCTCCCAGATGCGGAAGAAGCATCTCTCTTCTGTTACCGCTCTGCACCGACAGTCCGCCAAGCTCTATGGTACAAGTCCTCCAGGCGTTGCTACGCACGCGTACGGATACGCGGAGGTAGCGCCGCTCCGGTGCTTGCAGTACCGCCTCCCATCAGCAGGGGGCGGCGCGAGAGCCGTGGGGCGCCTGACAGGAGGAGCTCTGTAAGGCGTGGTTCAGGCGGTGCGGGGCTGCGGGTCCGCTTCCTGCGCTTCCTTCGGCTGAAGGCTGCTGCTGCTCGGCACGGCGCAGCGTACTCACAGTGAAGACCCAGGCATGAATTAGGATCGCTGCTGTCTTAGATTCACACTGTCATCAGCCAAAGAAGTGCTAATTGCACTTGCATCCCTGTGAATGCTCCAGCCTGTAGGCTTTGTCCTGCTCCACTGTAGCAGAAAGAGGAATGTGAATCAGAGGTCCAAAATGTGCAATTTTTCAGTAGATATATCAAGATTCATCTTAAATTTCGATCCTAAACACATGTTGTCCCAGCTCCCATCTTCCTCATGAAGGCCTGGAGGGTTGTGACTGCGAAAAGCACTTCTACATCACAGCTGCAATTCTTGTGCCAACAAAACTGCATGTTTCAATAGGAACAACGGCACTGCTCGGCTACCTCCACCCTGACCTTGCCCTTCTGGTGTTGTACATGCAGCAGCCTCCTTTATTCCCAATGAACATCCTTACAAAGTCTGTGAAAGAACTGCTCCCCAGCCTTCAAGCAGCACGAATTGCTTCTTGCAGCATCTTCTTCCTCTCTCTCGTACGTGACGTTCATGCTGGCACACACTGGGCAGCGAACATGCTTTCCCATGTCACGCTATCTTCTGAGCAAATCTGTACTGTTAGCATCTATTCTTGATGATTTTTCTTACTGATAACCATTTCCAGCGCCTCCAGTAAAATTAAAACATAATGCCCTGTGCCACAGACTGCACGCTCCTGAGCTTTGGAGCAGAAGGGCTTGGAAAATAAGCACCTATTTCCTCCTATTTTTGAAAGAAAGACAGAGGGACAGAGGGACAGAGGGACATATAGGAATTACACTGACTGCCTCCCCAGCTCCCTTCATCATTTCCTGAATGAGAAATGACCTCTGAAAAGAGCATTCCTTGACTTGGTTTCGCTTCAATAGTTTACAACAAACCTTTGAACAGTGAGAATCCCTATCGTTTCTGGACACGTGTATCTATAAAAGGCTCCTCTTCTTCTGGCACAAAGGCTGTTACAATCAGCTGTCCTGAATCACCTGAACAAAGCATGAAATCTGTTGGTGCAGATGTTTCTTTATTCGTTTTCTTCTCCCTCGCTGCCCTTCAGAATACAGGTGAGTGCTTTTCAGATGTTTTTCTGCTTTACTTCTAACACGATCAGGTGTTCTAGGAGAGAATTCAGGAGCCACATCCACACGTTATCTCAGGATAAAGGATGGAGGCCAGCAAAAAGAGACAGAAATAGTGGTGTTTTACTACCTTTTCATTCTCTTGCTCTCTCCGCCCTACAGAAAACAAACAGCCCTCTGTCACCTTCACCCCCCCAGTACACAAAAGAAAACTCTGTGACATTTTCTTCTCCTTTTGACAGAAAACATCATACCTGAAGCTATGACCGTAATTCTTTCTTCCTCTCATAGTCTCATTCATACGTTGTCGATGACCTTTGGGAAGGATGTCAATCTGCAGAATTTTGGAACGCAGTTGATTTCTCCTCCCCAATTTGCTACTGCCAGCTCTTCTGTACTTCCACATGCAGGAAATTCCTCCTGCCTCAGTCCCACATATGTGGTTACTGCTGTGGATCCAACCAGCACTGAGGATAAACCCCTGCTCCAAAGAGGCAAATACAGATACTGTACTCACAATGTTAGCTCAGCAAGCCACACAGTCTTACACAGTCTGCAACTGCGTTAGTAACCCTCCCCTAATTATATGCTTATCATAGGTCCCAGTTTTGCTACATTCACGGCCAAATTTAGAATTCTGATGTTTAGTGAGGTCATCTCAACTCTACATGGTATTATTGGCATAGTTAACAACGTTAGTCTCACAAGATTCAGAATCAAAAGATTACATTCCCCTGTGTTCCAAATTATCAGTGCAGCTTGTCCATCTCACTCAAATCCCTCTTCACTATGAAATCCAGTCACTCCTCTGTCAACTTTTTACTACTTTGTTGTATTCAGCAGTTTTTCATGTCATGTCCAATAATAACTCATGGTCTACTCAGTTAGCTCTCAGCCAAAGCCTGGCGATCTCTCCACCTACCTAGCTATATTAACAGCTATGTTGTTAACATTAAATTCAAATAAAATGCACAGCAGGAAGAAATCTCAACCTTCCATAATCTCACGTTGGATCACACTTTGTCACTAGTGTCAGCTTGTCATTCACCCAAGAGCACTAACCTGTTACCATTGATTCCTGTTATCAATGATAAGGAAGAAGTTGATCACACGGAGGGCAGTGAGGCACTGCACAAGGTGCCAGAGAGCTGGTGCTGCCCCATCCCTGCACACAGCCACACTCAGGGGACAGGGCTGTGAGCACTGCTGGAGCTGTGGGTGTCCCTGTGCACTGCAGGCACTGGGAACAGATGGCCTTTGGGGGTCCCTTCCAACTCCAACCATTCTATGGCTCTGTGATGATTCTATGATACTCCTAGAAGTAACTATTACTAGTGACACTACCTAGGGGCAGGCTGCTCATGAGCTTTACCTTTTTATTAGATATAAAAATACCCATAGATTTGTTGAAATTATATATAAGTGAATTTTTCTAAACAAAACGGAGTGATGTTAATGCACAGGTGATTGTTGCCTTCATCTGACATAAACAGCCTACCTCATTTATTTATGGCAGTGCTTTAGATGTTGTATTGCTGCTTCAGAGAAGAACTCAATGACATTCCTGACAACGTGTTGTTTGTTTTTCTTCCTTGATTTGTTCTTTAACAAGGAGCTCAAGACTCTTGCTCAAGCCAGTGTGGGAAGCTGCTTGGGACCTGTTCATGCCAGGAGATTTGCCAGTCCCTGGGGACTTGCTGTCCTGATTACAATGAATTTTGTCTTCGGATTTCTCCATACTCAGGATCTCTGATGGGAGGCAAAGATTTTTTGATAGAAAATACAGCATTTAATACTTCTGTGTTAATGTGCAGGTGAGCCATGACTCTATGTTCCTCTGCCAAAGGGAGATACCCTTCCTAATCTCACTTTCTCACAGTAGGTAGTTGCCTCAAATCAAAACTTGTCAATACAGGAGTGAAAACTTACCAAAATCCTGAAACTTGAAAAGGTTCTGCTAATCCTTATCCTCAAAGATACGCGTGGTCTGCATTTCTAGGCAGGATGGCTTCCTGTAGGCTGAGTTACTGCGTGATACAAATATTCCTCTGTTAAGCTGTTCCCTTACAATATCACTACTTCCTTTCTGAACTTTTTGTTGCTAGAACAAGAAGGAACGGCTTTAAACGAATAGAGGGGAGGTTGAGGTTGGATGTGAGGAAGCAATTCCTCACTCAGAGGGCAGCGAGGCCCTGGCAGAGCTGCCCAGAGCTGTGGTCCCCATCTCTGGAGGAGCCCAAGGCCATGGATGGGCACACAGCAGGGGTGGGAATGGGGGGGCTGTAAGGCCCCTCCAATCTCAGCCGGTTTATGATACTATGATTTGAATATTTTTTAACATTCTATTTTAAGAGAAAGCAATATTGATTTTTTAAACTGAAACGACAAGAAAGAGAAGTGAGTAGACACCTTATCTATTTTCCTGCAAGACAAATCCTTGATCCTCAGTGTCAGCCTGTGACATACTGAAGTACATATCACACATGCTACACATATGGTACACCACATTTTAATAGCCCTGATCTCCTTATGTTTTTTTTCTACAGAAGGTTCTGAGTCAGATTTTAGTGCCCCTCCAATCTGCATAGCAGCGTTTGAGAAGATTTTAGTCTTTCAACGACTGTGTACTTTGAATTAAGTGAACTGTTGCTTTATCATAGCCAACACAAATTTCAGTTTAGATGAGCAAAGAAGCTACTTCTTGGCAGACCCCAAGCCTACAGCACTACTTGGAATAGCTCTGCAGTCCCCATACATCAATCCTGAAGAGTCCTGGTTAGGCTTATAGTAAGGATGCCAGGCAAGAGCCCTATTTGGAAGCAGATGGTTAATTTACAAGCAATGAGCTCTGAGTTTGTTACTAATTTATCTTGTCCCTCCCATAATTAAATTGTAAATCTAAGGCTTGCAACTTGCTGTGTATTTGTGCAGTGCACAGCAGAATCCCCACTGCAGTGATAAGTACAAAGTGCACATGCTTTATTTTCACTGATACAAGCAAAACAGCCATGGGACTTGGAATGACCTGCACATGAAAATAGCTTGCGTAGTGAAACAACTGAGACATTCACGGTTTTTCTGCTCTCAACAATGGCTCTGAGAAATGTTTTCAATATCAACAGATTCAAGCAGCAAGTCATAACCAGTGGCTATGTTGATACGGATGGAAAAGCCCACTGCCTCTCCCCATTGCTGTTTGAAACTGGTTTCATCCCCTTTGACGTTTCTACAGATGGCGGGCTGACATTTCCATACTCTGGAACTTGGTTGTCAGGTTACTTACTTCAATCTGTCATATCACCCTTCTTTCTGTATTCTTGCTTCACAAAAACAAGATGATATAAGCCTTTCTCACTTTCTTAATGGGCTATTTGGCCTCAAAAAAGTCATTCTTGATCCCTTCATGGTAATTCCTATTTGAACAGATGAAGTTTTGCTGTGAATGAGTTCTGCTATTATTCAGCAGCAGCAGCATTAAGTCACAAAAAAATTCTTGCTCAAAATTGAGGTTGACCAGAAGAGTTTCCTTTTTGGTAGGTATTTATATTGGAAAAGATCTCCACCTTGATGTTGTATCCCCAGGACCACATGCATTACCAAGGGTTGTATTCTCTCATCTCCAATTTACTCTTTTTCTATCATGCATCCTGTTAGAAAACACACGGAGGAAATACTGCTGAATCTTACATACTGTAATTGCAACTTTTCATAGCTATGCAAGACAAAAATGTCATTAATTATTATTTTGTCATTAAATTTGACATTTTAGGTTTTTCTTGTGTTCTGTAATGCAGTACATCACAGCAAGGTTTCGACTGGAGAAGAATGCACATTGGTCAATGAGACAAAATGGCAATACTATGGCACTCCTGGCACGGATGGAAACTTAACTCTGACCTGGACACACCAAGCACTTGCAGCATCCCATATCAACATAGAAGTCTGGGGGTACCAGGAAACAGGTAAAGTCACTCTTCTCCTGCCTGTACACCGGTGTAGCGATTGCACAGAGCTCTGTGTATCATGCATTCACTTTCACTGAAGCTGCAGGAAGAGATCTGCAAGTGCAGAGAAGTCATGCTTGTAATGGCAGCTTTGCTCTTCAGTTCCACATGGGTGGAAGCATCTTAATTTCAGTCGTGTTGTTAGTTAACTCTTCTTTCACAGCATCTAAATGGATTTTCTACCTCTACACGACAGGCGAGAGTTACTCAGAAAACTGGATGGCTGAATGGAAATATCTTTATACTTTGGCAAGAGAAGCTCCCAATACAGGGACATTTTCTTTCATTCCTGTGCCTGCTGAAGCAAATTACAATACTTGGGACTTTGGAATTTTGAGAATTACCCCCAGCACCTATTCTGATGGGCAAAGGCAAGTACATGACGAGGTTCATTTATCATAGGTACCCTATTATTACTTCTACAAAGTCTTCTCCTTTGACACTTAAAACCAGGACTTGGGCTCTGTTTCTCATACAAAAAAATCTAGCAAACCTATTCAAAAACTATAACATCTACCTTTCAAGCATAGAACTTCATCTAAAGATAAGCATGTGATCATTCAGTTACCTACAGTAGTCATCACAACATAAAACTTAATCACCAACACAGTATTTAGGATGTCTGATAAGGGATACCAGCACTCATTGCTCATTTTAGACATGTTTTCTTTATCTTCTTTCTACAGAGTCGTTTCTCTGAGGCTCAGTGTTGGCTTGTTGCAGTTTTATTTACTTAACTTCACCACAGTTTTATTGCTGGACATGACATTCTATAACACTCTTTGCTCCACTGGGGTCCCAGTCTCTCTCCCCCTCTCAGCCTCTTACCAATCTCTTTCCTGTTCCCTGGGGGGCAGAGTGAGAAAAAGAGAATACCTTGACATAGTGCAAGCACTCTTCCAGTGCAAACCACAGCCAAAACTCGAGTGTGCTACCAGCACTATTCAGTCACAAGGCACAAGTTTAAAACACAGCTCCATTCAGACTACTGTGAAAAAAACTCCATCCCAACCAAACCTAATATAATCCTGAACTAGAACATCTGTTGCTACTGGATGTGATAATACTACAACACAGAATTAGATTTTGTTAGAGAATCCAGACTTTCTCCATTCTGGCCTAAAGGATTTATGTTGTAAAAATGCATGGACAGAAAATTGTATTCCTGGTTACAGCATCCTTACTGCATGCCGTTACCTCACCCTTGAATTAGAAAAATAGTGATTTTCCAACCCAAACCATTCTATGATTCTATGATTCCAAGTGCCTTCATAAGCAAAAAACAACTTGCAAGGTGTAAAATACTTCATAATTATTGATGCCAAAACTTTGCTTTTCAGCTATTAGATCTGGTTGTTTTTTGTTGTTTTTTTCTTCAGCAACATTCCATCCATCTGGAGCCCAGAACATGCATTGGCTTGGCACCTTGGAGAAGACTTCAGAAATGAGCCAGCTGCATGGGCAACTGCAAAATGTATAGAGTGGGTCAGGAAGGAAGAGCAACTTCCAAACTTCATGGAAGAAATAATAGATTGCCCTTGCACCTTGGCACAGGCAAGAGCTGATACTGGCAGGTTCCACGTAAGTTATTAATCTGTCACTGTGGCCTTGTACAGTTCAAGTAGAAGTTGAGGGACTGTTATACTGTGCCCTGCAGCCTTGTTCTCTGCTCCATAACCTTTCCTGATACCAAGGTCAGGCTAACAGGCCAAATAGTTCTTCCTTCCAACCCTTCTTGCAGATGGGCGTCACATTGGCAAGTCTCTGGTTGCCTAGGATCTCCCCAGTTGACCAGAGCTGCTGACAGATGGTAGAAAGCAGCTTAGCAATCACCTCCATCAGCTCCCTCAGCACCCTCAGGTGGATCCCATCCAGCCCCATGGATTTGTGACAGTCCAGGTGGAGTAGCAGGTCACTGTTTCTTCTCTGCCTAGTACACTATAACTCACTGCAAACCTTTCTAGCTTATGTTTTGGAGTGCAAATCCACAGCCATAAAACATTATTTCTTATCTCCTGCATTCTTCCTCCCACTTGACTGGTAACAAAGAACTGTCAAAAGCCAAGAAATCAGTTGCCATGTCATTTACACTTTCAGACAGCACTGACCTGAAGACCAGATGGAGTGACTTCCTCACCTACGTACAATATAAATGATGGCAGTGTGAAACCTATTGCCCAAGAATAAACATGGTCAGGATGCCACATTCTGTGACTGTTAAACTTACAGCTGATTTCCTCATTTAGCTCTGTCTGTTCTTCAAATTCTGCTCTACCAGAATGCAAAAAGCTGAGGTTAGACTAACATGCTGATACCATCACGTCAGTCCTACATTTGCTGTTTCTTCCTGTCATTCTATGATACCAAACCCACAGCCACAACCACTTTGTTTAGCTTATACATGGACCTTAGAGGCAAATGGCTGGGAGAGAACATGAAAACAGGAAGGACAAAATGGAAATTCCCTTAAGCATGAGCACTGATCTTTTTCAGACAGATTATGGCTGTGACATGGAAAAGGGAAGTGTGTGTACTTACCACCCCGGCGCTATGCACTGTGTAAGGGCCATTCAAGCCAGGTAAAGAGCAATTTTTGAAGCCATGTTGTTTTAATGACTTGTTTCGCCTCAGAGATCATAGCATCACAGAAGTCAGAAAGGCCTCCGGAGGCTCAGCAGTCAGGTTTAAGGCAGTGGCTGTTTCTCTCCTGCTCCCTTATTACTCCTCATTGCTGAGGTGAAAGCAATGCTTTAGTCTTACTGGACAATTAATTGCACTGTCCTGGACTTCATGATGCATAAACAAGGAGTAATATCTAAAAGTAGTTTGATTAGATTTAACTAAGCCTTTTTTGCAATGGTTGGTTGCACTTGTTCTGTCAGAATAATGTTAGTAGTGCTATGCATGTGTGGCCATAAGGCCTGCAGAGCTTCCCTACAGCCTTGGGTAAAGTCCCCTCCTACCCAATCCCTGATCTGATCTACTTCATAAGAGCAGAAACAAAAATATTTACTGACACTCATCTTTTGTGGACGTCACAGAGCTTGGTAACCAAAACATCTATTCATGTCCGTATGAAGGCAACCACTAAACACAAACAGACTTCCCAGAGCTGAATAATGACTTTCCTCTTCCTACATTTCTCAACCAGCCCCCAGTATGGAGCAGGACAGCAGTGCTGCTATGACTACACGGGGACCCAAATCCTCACACAAGACTCCACAGGAGGCAGCACACCTGACAGAGGCCACGACTGGGGATCACCACCTTTCCTGAAGCCTCCCCGAATACCTGGCTTTTCCCATTGGCTTTATGATGTTATCAGCTACTATTACTGTTGTCTGTGGTCTGATAATTGTCACTTCTATATGGAAAACCGGCCCTCTAGTGACTGCAGGACGTATCGCCCACCCCGAGCTGGTAAGAGCTGCAGAATTCCATTACAGAGTACACAGACTTTTCATACGTTTGACATTTAAAACATTTGTGTGTGTATGCATTAATGCCAGTTGACAATGCTGAGCGCACAGCATCCTGCTGAAGATTTCCATGGCAGGTGGTTTCAATTGATCTGTCAGTGGCAAAATGTGTTCTTTAACTGCCCTACAAAACTTCTGGCTTAAGTAGCATATTAACTCCCAGAATCTAAATAGCTGAGATTTAGTAGTTAGGGCCCACGGCTTTCTAATGGTCTGTGAACTTTTCTTGTTCTTATTTCTCTTTTTCTTTCCAAAAAAAGCATCTGCCTTTGGGGATCCTCACTTCCTCACATTTGATGGTCTGAACTTCACTTTCAAAGGACAAGGGGAATACACGTTGGTAGAATCTGATCTCACATCCTTAAAGGTGCAAGGGAGGACCCAGCAGGCACGCTTCCCCAATGGTAAGTTGGTAAGAGAGAAAGCAGCGATGATAAACAATAGCTTCTGAGGTTGCTTGATTCACTGTTCACAGTATTTACCTTATCTTCTCTGGTCTTTTTCCCCTCTCCCTGCCTGGTTCCCAACCTATGGCTGAGTCTCTCTGGGCTGTTCTCCCATTCACAGGCTGATGAACACCTCACACTGATGTTATTATCAGCAGAAACATAATTTCTTCTCTCAAAGTACTCGTATGTGTTCTGGCATTCTGCTACTTTACTGTATACAAACACTTTATATATCTGGATGCCGTTTTTGCTTCCTCTTTTGTTTGTTGTTGATGTTTTTTTTTTTACCTGTATCACGAGCACCTTCCTAATTGAGTTTATTTGATGCAAGGTATGGGGGTTTTTTTTGTGTGTTTTTCTGAAGGAACTCAGGCTCAGGTGACAGGCCTGTCTGCAGTGGCCATGCAGGAGAACAACTCTGATGTGATCGAAGTACGCTACTCAGCAGATTTGAATTTGGAAGTCTTGTTGAATCAGAAGGTGCTCAACTTCTCTGAGCAAAGCTGGATGGACTTGGAAGGTTAGTGACAGATACCAGCCTTGAAAGCTATTGTATTTCTAATTGAACCCCCTACAGCTTAAAAAAAAAAAAAGTGCTTTCCATCCAATCTGCCTTGGTGGCCATGTCTTTGTACAGAGAACCAAATCCTCTCACCTTCAAGATTGACTACAGCTACTTTGTGGACAGGAATATAAGCACCAGAGTTATGGGCCACTAGTCTCCTTCTAAACAGAGGCACACACTGTGGCTGAGCCCCCATGGAGAGATGTAGTCCAGGTCAGAGCATCACATCCCATTACTTCCATGCCTTTCAGTATTGCTGGCAGTTAGCACAGCAGTAATACCAACACCACCCAGGAAGAAGCAGAGTCATTGGATTTGTAGAAGACAAGCATCCCCTCTGCTCAGAAAGAGCAAGTAACACAAGTGACAGCCTTTACCAACACTTAGTGCTACCCTGAACTTTCGGGGATGCATAGAGAAATATGGAGAGGAAAATACTGGAAATAGTACTGAGATGTTTGACTTCAATACCTGCTTCATCCATGTGATTTTTCAGCATTCTGTACAGCAATGACTTCCCTTCTCATCCCATGGAGGATGAAGAAGATTACTCCTCCTTACTGAAGAAGGGAATCAGTCCTTACTCCTCATCTGTTTGCTTTGTGCCATTAGCTATTTTGTCCTCCTTCTCTCACCATTTTAGGTCTCTTTCTTCATTCCACGGACGATCAGAAAGTTACAGTGATGTTCTCTTCTGGGTCTGGAGTGGAGATTAGGGGAAGTGGAGGATTTCTGACCCTGACAGTTCTGCTCCCAGAGAAGTTTACGAATCACACACAGGGTCTCTTTGGGGTGATGAATGGTAACATAGAGGATGAGTTTACCTTCAAGAATAAAACCACCATGTCGGTTCATGCGAGTCCCCAGCAGTTGTTCGAGTTTGGAGCTAATTGTGAGTGATTCCCCTGGTTGTCTGTTATTACATTTTCTTTGTAAATTCAAAGCTGTTTGTGATCTACAGACCAGAAAATTGTCTGTGCTAAGCAGCCTATTCAGAGTGAGAGACAGATGCTTCTCCACTTGGTTAAATGGGTAACATGTCCAGCCAAAGTGGATAAAGACAGAATCATGACAAATCCTGCCTGTTCTTATCAAATTTTACCAGCATCTGTGAAATCATAGCTGCACATTTATTTGTATTTTTAACTAACTGATCAAACATTAAACTTAGTGCATGCAAAAAGGAAAACAATCTTGAACTGGAAGGAGGATGTATAAGAGGGACAACATAGATCTCTTCTAGCTCTGGCTACGTTTATCTAGACAAGTACTTGGCAGAAGGCTGTGTAGATCTATAGGCAATGTTACAAATGAATCTCTTTCACTTTGTCTCCCAAGGGGCTGTTGAAAATGGAACTTCTCTCTTTACTTATGACACAGAGATCTTACTGAACGATTATTTTTACGGGGAAAAGCACAATGCCTCCTTTCTGCCAGTGTTCCATCCGTATGAAGACCCCACTGATCCCTTGGTGGAAGAGATGGTCTCACTCTGTGACTCAGACCCATTCTGCAGATTCGATGTCCTGACAACAAGGAGCCTTCAAGTGGGAAATTTCACAAGACTGTCTCATCAGAATCACAAGCAGCTGGTAGAAAGTCTAGAGCCAGGTGAGACAGCATTAAGTAAGTTTTCCCTTTCTGCAAGCATCTAAATAGTTAAGGTCACCTGAAGAGGCTTTACTCAACAGAAGGTTCATGCATTTATAAATACTTACCAGGAGGAGTCATCTTTTTATCAGAAAAAACTCTGAACTGGTACGATAGTTAGACCAATATAAAATACAGCTATATATATATATATATATATATTTAACTATTTTTACTACTGCAGCACTGTGTAGTAGAATTCTTGTCTACATTTTCTATTACTTTACCTTGCCATTAAAAAAAAATCTGAAAGCATTTCAGTTAGCCAAGAAATTGTTGTCTGTGAGTTGTCACACAAATGCCATTTGAATCACTGTGACTGAGACTCACCAGTTCAAAATAACCAGATATTTCTCTTTTGCTAGTGATTTCTTGTGGCTGGCTGGGTCCCCCAGCCAATGGAAGGAAGGATGGAACTAACTACCTAGTGGGCTCAGCCATCCATTTCACCTGCAACCAGGGCTACGAACTCACTGGATCAAAAGAAAGAATCTGTCAGTCAACTGGAGACTGGTCTGGGGACTCACCCGATTGCATCTTAAGATCAGGTCTGTTTCCTTTTAAGTGTTACAAATAGTCACCAGAAATCACCACCAGGATCATTATGGGACAATCTCAGTATATGATGATGGCCCTTGACAAAAGCAACTCTTTTTTGGGAAGACATTGGATAGGAGGTCCCTGCACATCTAGAAATATTGGTTTTTAAATCTGAATAAGAGGGGGGTATTGGTTTCTTTCTATCTTTGTTCTGAGTACCTGCCTCTTCCCAAGGCCTGGGGCTCTTTCTCTGTGTTTGAACAAAAGGATCTTTTTCCTCAAGAAGACAATCTAAAATAATTTTCAAACTCAGACTAAGCATGCTAATGGTATCCTGGGCTGCATTAGACAAAGTATTGCCAGATGGTGTGAGAGAGCTGATCATTTCCCTCTGCTCAGCAATGCAGAAGCCACAGCTGCAGGTCTGGGTTCCCCTGCACAAGAGATGTACTGCAGAGTCCTGCAAAGGGCCACAGATATGATGGAGGGATGGAAGTCTCTCTTCTACAAGGAAAGGCAGAAAGAGCTGGAACTCCTCAGTTTGGATGAGAGAAGGCCCCGGGGGGATCCCCATCAATATCTACAAACAGGTGAATGGAAGGTGTAAAGAGGGTGGAACCAGGCAGTGCCAGGACAAGAGGCAATGGGAACAAACTGGGATGTTCCTTCTGAGCATCAGGAAGCTCTTTGCTGTGATGGTGACCGAGTGCTGGCACAGGTTGCCCAGAAGGCACTGTTGAGTCCCCATCGTTGGAGATATCCAAAAACTATCTGGATAAAGTGCTGGTTCTAGGGGATCCTACTCAAGTGTTAAACAGGATAACCTCTAGATGTCCCTTCCAATAGCCTCTGATAACGGTGGGCAGACACTGCACTTTTGTCTCTTGCCAAGCTTCCTCTTCAGTGCTTGTTGGAACTGAAGAAAGCAGAAGCTTTCAAAGGACTGTAATATCTCAGGAGCTATTACTCTACAGCAGTAGAAAAATACTTATGATAAGCAGCAAAAATCACCCCTACTGTGTCACTATTATAACCTTATCGATTAACCTGGAATTTTCAGACTGAACAGCTGCTAGGCTGTGTCTACAATTCACAGATAACTGCCTACCTTCTTCAAACCGTATCAACTTGGATTTATTTTCCTGCCGTGAATTCTCCAAGCATCCTCAAGATGGCAATGTTTCAAAGCGCCAGGGTGATGCAGGGCCACACAGCACTCCTAAGCACTTTCTGTGCTAATTGTTCCTGAAAGTACTCAAATCCTGCCACTTTCTCCATTTTGAGCACTTCCAAGAACTTGGAAAGTGCACAACACACCAGCAGTGGATTCTTGTCAATACATTTCATCATTCACAGTAATGACAGATCATTTGTCAAAGACTGAGATCTTCACAAAGTAGGGCCAAAACAGTGGCAGAACATGTAGCCAAGTTGAAAGCTAAGATGGTTTTTCCATTGCTGCTGTCAGCTGCATACTGACTGGATGGGAGCCAGACAGTCTCAGTAAGCAAACTGGACACTTGCATTTATAGAATTAGGGGGCAAAAAGCCTGCCCTAAAAGATCAGGAGGAAGGAGATAAACAGAAGTTATCTGCGTTCAGAACAAAGGAGTCATGCCATAGGCTTATGGCTAGGCACAGGACAAGAGAAAACAGTTTCAAACAAGAAGTGGGGAAGTTCAGGTTGGATATAAGGAAGAAGCTTTGACACTGAGGGCAGTGAGGCACTGCACAGGGTGCCCAGAGAGCTGGTGCTGCCCCATCCCTGCACACAGCCACGCTCAGGGCACGGCGCTGTGAGCACTGCTGGAACTGTGGGTGTCCCTGTGCACTGCAGGCACTGGGAACAGACAACCTCTGGGAGTCCCTTCCTACTCAAACCATTCTATGAACAGTAGAACAAATGTTTTTCAGTATATTTCTTTCACCTGATTATAAAATGACATCCCTTACCATGTGATATTTGGTGTTCATTTGTAGAATGAGCCCAAATGATCGTTTTGTCAGTCCCAGGAAGCTGGAGCAATGACCGTGCTGCCCATTCTAGCAGGATATCATAGTCAAGACAATATGAAATTCAAATTGCATGTAAAGGCCTTCACTAGGCTGTCCTAACCACTGTGCCCCAATAATGGCATTTGTATCTAGTCTTGCTCCTTCCTCTTTCATATCAGAAAATATGAAACTGGTTAACAGGCCAAGAAGGTCCACATCTCTCTCAAGAAGACAGGCAAAACAGTCCAAAAGTCATCGTGCTTACATTTTAACTCCCAGCATTTTTATGGCATGGACATCCACCTGCTTTTCACTAAATATGTTTCAATCTCCAGTTTAGTACAGTTGAAATCCAGCACTGACTTTTCTTGTGCCAATTCTGGATTCAGCACAGTTACAGAAAGCATTTTCACTGTGTTACAAACTGTTATTACTCATGCTAGTTTTCTGTACTGTTTTCCTCTTTACGCAGTAACATGCTGCTCTTTTTCCAGCACCCATTTCATTAAGCTCTGTGACAGAGGGCCAGCTTCATGCCAGGAAAACACTGCCAAAATTAATGGTCAGTGCTTCCAAACTTCTGGGAGCCTGAATGGGTGACCACTGTCCTAACTGTGTGATTTGTGGTCAGATTTTTACTTCCAGCACAAACTATTAAAACACTCTTTTTTGAATAATGACCTCTTCCATGCTGATCAAGAGCACAGGACGCTGCCCTCTGTTATTGCCAGTTTCCAGAGGTGCTTCTTCTCAGCGCTGCGCTTGTTGCAGTGCTGCACATTCTGGCACATTGGGTTCAAAGTCCATACTACAAATCATCAGGGGTTTTACTTACTAACATGCTTTTTTCCTCCCTTCCCCCCAAAAGAACTAGAAAAGTTACAATGAAGGCGTGAGGACTCTGAAAATTGGATAAGAAGAGAGACAGAAACAAAAGTAGTACAGGACAGTTACTTTGCAAAATCCATTTCTGTATTTCAAAAACAAATTATGCTTTCATGCCTGCATGTTTTTACTTTTGAGTTTTGCTTCCTTGAATTAAGGTTTCCATGGATATCCTCTGCTAATAATTACTTCTGCTATGCTTCTAATTACAATCCCACTGCAAGGCTTGCCAGTACCTCAGCAACCTCTCTTCATAGAATTTCTCATGGAGGGAGAAAAAAGAAACCATCCAGCAAAAGAAGAAAGGAGAATAGTAAAAATCATGAGTAAACCTAACTGAAATCTGGAACATCTTCACAATACACACATTTATCCTGTTTGTGATAGCCAACAATTTGATGGTGTTAAGTGCAATCCATTTTTGTCTCTTTTGTTTTCAATTTTTTCATCTTTAGCTTTCCTTTCCCAGGCTGTGTGCAAATACAATCCTTTTGTGAAATGTTGACAGAAACCCCATTAATTCTGTGTACTTTTATCTCAGATGAGGACGGAATTGCTATCTGGCTGTTATTTCCAAGAGACCTGCTTCAAAACATCCTAAAAATCATGAAAAATAGCCTGGCATTTAAAATTGAAAACAAAGATTTCACTTTAGATACAAATCACCACCAGGACAAGCTATCCAGGCCAATGGTGGGCTCTCATCACTTGACAGAGAAGGGGTACCTGCCCGAGGTGTTTGTGAGCCTGACAGAAGTTCTGGAGCTTTGTAGAGGAATTTCTGAATGAAGAGAAACTGTAAAGCTACCTGATTGGGAAACAGATGGAAGACCCATCATTTGTTGGGATTGGTGGTGGCACAGAAATATTGCAGATTGATGCAGTCAGTTACATTTCAGCCACCAGTCATCCTCTGTGTTAGAGCAGCTTTCACAGCCACCTGCCCTTACTGGGAGGTTATGTGCTCACCCACAATCAGCTTGTTCCCCAGCCACAGTGAAGAGCAAAACATTTATTCTATATATACACAATTTAAAATCCAGTAATGATCACGTTCAAACAAATTGATATGAAGACAAATAACATCTTCCTGTTTCACTGTTGGCTGTTTTTGTTTCAGACTTCAAACAACTAATTATCCTTGCCTGTATGCTTGGAGTTATGAGTCTCGCTGTTGTGACACGTCTACTTCTCCTATATAGAAAGGACAGGTAAGAATTCAAGCAAGCTAAAAACAAGAAAGAACCTGATAAAGAGAAAGCAAGTATTGTGACCTCCTAAACCATTTCCATCAATGGCAATGAAATCAAACATGATCTTCTCCTGCTATATCTTTTTTATCCAGGTTGGATATTAGGAAGAACATCTTCTTAGAAATGCAGTCAGGCAGTGGCTGCCCAGGGAGTGGTGGGGGTCACTGTCCACAGGGTGTTTAAGGAAAGGGTGGCTGTAATATTTAGATACATGGCTATTGGGCAATATTGGCAGTAGGTGGATGGTTGGACTGGGTGATCTTAGAGGTCTTCTCCAACTTTCATGATTCTATAATCTGATGACTTAAAATATCATGTCTTGATGGTTCTTTAGTCCTGCTAGAAAACTATGATGCAAAAATGGTAGTTGATTACCAGGGCAAGCAAGCATGATTGGTTGGTCAATGGAGAGAGAGAGAGAGAGAGAATGGGATTTTTCATCAAAATGATGTAATTGTTGAGTGTTAAGGCTGTCTGTGAGAGCTGTCTGCTTCAAGATGGGTGATGCCAACAGGTAAACTGAATCTATCCCTGAAGGAATGCATTGCATGGTATTGTAATTCGCCACATAACCTTGAACATATTCTCATTTCTAGGGTTGCCTTGAGAATGCTTATGTTTCTTAAGACATAGGGGTGAAGAGAATTCAAGACAATACTTCACTGCCCATTCTTGGAACATCCCTACCAGAGATGCATTCACTATATAAACTACTACATTGTAAAAGAAATCTAGTAAATTCCTTCAGATTTTAATCATTTGCTTTAAAAGCCTGCACATGATTCACTCTGCTGGCCAGTTTAACAAGACAAAACCATTTTTAGCCCTATAACCTTCCAACAGATTCATGTCTTCAGAATCTTTTGAAGCAGAACACAGTGACACCGATGTCTGTCACTGACAGTGCAGTCCATTGATCCTCTGCTCAATCATTAACTGCATCTAGCAGCATGCCACTGGGACTACTAAGTTTTGCCCCTCACCTTTGAGTTACATAAACATCATTTCCTATGGCTCATGGAGCACAGTCATACTCAAGCCTCTTTTCTCCCCTCTCTGTACAAAAGTAATGGATACTCAACACACAGGAGACACCGTTAGCAACTGATGTTTTTTGCTCATGTGTATATACACACACACACAAATACACAAAGGACACCTCCTATACTGACCAAATCTTGCATGTTCCAGGTTCTGTATACATAACTGATTGATATAAAGCACTACTCTTACAGCCTTCTGTCCTAATCCTGATGACCAAATGCTATGTTTTTAAATTCCTTTCTCCTTCAGCAAACAAACACAACACCAAGTTGGGGTTATATTTTCATGTTTCCACCAGCCATGTTTCCTGCCTAGAAAAGTAAGCTGGGTTTTAAGTCAATCACATTATGGTGTGAGCAGAGATTTAGGGGAAAAGTATCACAGTACTACAAAAAAGATATGCAGTAACATGATGGTAACCATTCTAACAGTCTTTCTTTTTTAAACTTTTTGTCTTTCCCCTCACAAGACGCAGAGCCAAGCAGAAGCTTGCTTCCCAGGATCCAGTGACATCTCAACTAGAAAGAGCAAAACTCCCAGATGAGTTTCCGATGAAACATGGAGAAAGCATAGCAGAAGGATAAACAGCCCACAGCAACAAAGATAGAAACAATGGCTTCATGCAGTATGCTATCATTTAATTTCTGCCCCCATTATAATGGCTGTTCCATCTCTGGGAAATGCTACCAAACTTCATGGGATTGTATAACAGCCAACTCATCCTACTGTGTATCGTAAGGAAGGGATATTGCTTCTGAAAGCATCGGTTGCAAAGTTATGTGCACTGGTTTCTTCTATCAGGCACATTTCAGACAACAGAACCAAAGTTTTGACAGAATCCAGAAGAGTCTGTGGTTTCTCTGCACTTTTCCTCTCATCTTTTACTTACAAAGTAATAAAATGAAAATAATCCTAACCTATAACACTGACCTTTATCAGACAAACACACGTCTTCCTGGGGCCATTTGCAGCCTGTTCAGATATGAGGGCTGCTCTGAAAGTACCACCTCCTCTTGCATGACATTGGCAGTACAAGACAAACCTTTGTAATGTGATGGAAAGTGCAGCAATGACAGCAGAACAACAAAATCCTAGGTTGCAGTATGTAAAAAGTTACTCAAGTGCAACAGCCATAAAAACAAAGGAAAAAAAGCTGCTTACCTTCAGAAGGCCTCAAGTGCACAAGGACCTCCAGCAAGCTCCCCTCACCTCCACTGCCAACCCTTAAATGAGGTCTGGGAAGGGGTGGAGCCAAGACCCAGATTACTCAGGTACATCACATGCACCTGAGCTCCCCTGGGTTGGCCCTGCTTTCCCACCAGGTGCTCAATCCCTGCTTCAGGCCGTTCTGCTACAAACTTCCCACCAACTTCCTATTCCGTTCTGTTGCTGTGTGACAGATGGCAGCACAGGGGCAATCTGACAAATGACATCTGACAGGAAAATGCATAAGAAGCAAAGGTGTGGAACTGAATTTCTCCATGGGGAAGAAATGGCCCCCACTGACATTCATCGTCTCTTGGTGAACATCTATGGAAACCCAGCAGTGGATGTGAGCACAGTGAGGGGTGGGTGGTGCATTTCAGCTGTGGTGACAGTGATGTGAAAGACATCTTACCTGCCATCCTGTTCCTTAGTTTCACCTGCACACAGAATGCTTACAAACAATTAACGCCATGTTAATAATGAAATTCACACCATCAATTTAATGTATCTCCCAACGTTTGTTCTTCCAGCACTCTTGACAAAACCACCTTTGCTCACTCCATGCTCCACTTCCTTCACCAACCACTCATATAGCAACTCACACAGTTGCTATACGTGCCTATATGCCAGTGGCACAGTTTGCTTTCAGGCAGTTTGTTGCTCCTGGTCATTCCTTGGTCTTTTTTTTTCAGAGCTCTTTTTTTTTTTTTCTAATAGGTTATTTTTTTCTTTCTGTAATAGAGAATCATTTATATTTCAATTTACTGTATTCAAGATCACCCATTTGCATTGTGCAATTTTCTGCTTGTGGTTTGTGGCCGCTGTTCACAAATAACAGCAATGGCAATAACAACAGTAGCTAATAAGTAATGAATCATTTTATACTTCTTAATACACAGTCTGAGAGGCCCCTTTCAGTGTGTGCTGTCCCAGCAGAATGTAAAATCTGTACATTTTGTCCTCGCCTGTTGACACAGCCATGATTTCCCAGCAGTTTATGAATGAAAGATCTTAGAAAAGTAGAACCAAAGAGCTGCAAAAGTTAGTAATTCTTTCACTGGCAACAAGGGTTTCATGATGCACAACTGGCTTCCCAAACCTTTTGGTTGTAGGCTGGAGGCACAATAAATTGGCAAAGGTGCCCCTTTGAGAATATATTAGATGACATGGTATATATGAATCCATTGTTTAAGTATCTTCTTTTTTTCTCCTGTTTTTAATATATCTCACAACAGCCAAAAGAGATTTTAGCACGTTTTTCACCTCACGGTTATGTACAATGAGAGCTTTCTGCATACTGAGAATGAGGCATATATTGTGTATTGATGTACCACCATAACAAAGCAATGAAACTGTGTTTTGTGGCTGACACGTTCAGAGTAGTAAAATGGGTCTCCCTCTCCTTTGTAGATGTTTGAAGGGGTCGTTACGCAGCAAAAGTATGAAGAAGCCGTAAGGACAAGAATGTAATGACAAAGGCTTCAAGCTAAAAGAAGGGAGATTGAGGTTGGATGTGAGGAAGCAATTCCACACTCAGAGGGCCTGGCAGTGCTGCCCAGAGCTGTGGTGCCCCATCCCTGGAGGAGCCCAAGACCATGGATGGGCAGCCTGAGCTGGGGGCAGCCAGCACACGGCAGGGCTGGGGGATCTCTGAGCTCCCCTCCAACCTCAGCATTCTGTCACTCTATGATTTGTGTTAGACAAAACAAGTCTAACTTTTCCCCGATTGCTTTGTTTGTTTGCTTGGTTCTTTTTTGCTGTTGGTGTTTGCTTTCTGTTATTTACTTTTTAGCAAAGAAGTGCTGCCACTGCTAAAATGTTTCGCAAGTCAGCAAAGAAACCTCTGCAGAAGTCTAGACTATGGCTTCATTATGTATGACCTAGAGAAATAAATAGCTTTTCTACCCACATGGAGATAGAAAAAGAAGAAAAGGAAAGCCACCTGCATTTGCATTCACCATTTTCAAATAGAGATGACGAGCTCTCCCCCTCAGTTCTGTGGTCTGTCAGTAGCTGTGTATTTGTCTCTATGTGTGCTATGTAACATAGACTGACAGAACGGTTGGAGCTGGAAGGGACACTCAAAGGCCGTTTGTTCCCAGTGCCTGCAGTGCACAGGGACACCCACAGCTCCAGCAGTGCTCACAGCCCCGTGCCCTGAGCGTGGCTGTGTGCAGGGATGGGGCAGCACCAGCTCTCTGTGCACGCTGTGCAATGCCTGACCTATCCAAATCTCCCCCGTTCTCTTTAGAGACCATTTCCCCTTGTCCTATTACACAGAACCTGCTGCACGGTCTGTCCCTTCTTTCTTTCAGCCCCTTTGGACGCTGACTCTCTCAGCCTGTCGTCGGAGGGGAGGTCTTCCATCCCTTGCCTCAGTTTTGCGGCCCTCCTCTGCACGTGTCTATGCACTGTAGCAGTCCGCGTGCTCGTCTCTGTGCGTCTCCGTCCGTATTTCTATGTTTGAGGCCGTATGCATCCGGCTCAGTCCCTACACCACCCTCCGGCCCGTGCAGGGCTGTAAAGAGCCATAGCGCAAAGATTACAGCGGTCTTCTCCCCGCCCTCCCCTAAGGGAAGAAAAGATGCGCCGCATCTGCGCGCTGGCAGACAGCCCTCGGGGCCGCCAGGCTGGCACGGCCGCGGGGCTGCGGGGCTGCGGGGCAGGCAGAAGGACGCGGGGGGACGCCGAGAGCTCGGCGCGGCCGGCGGGGCGCTGACGGAGCCGTGCGGGGTTCGCCCGCCGCTGCCTCGCCGGTCGAAAGGCGGTCCTGGCCGCGAGGATCGCTCCGCGGAGCCCCGCTGCGGGCGGCACGGCCCGAACCCGTCGGTGTCAAACGGAAAAGCGGCCGCGCCGCCGTTCTGCGCCTCAGCGGGGAGCAGCAGGTTGGGATGTTGGTTTCTATCCTTTCCTGTCACATGGCTGGTAATAGGATCCCTCATCTGCCACTCGGCACCTCGCTGGGGCGCACTTACAGGACACATGCTGTAGGGCCTCCGCTTCCCGCACTTCGCGCTCCTCCCGGCCGCCCGCGACCACCTCCGCTCCGGAACGCGGTGCGGCCCGGCGGCCCCGGCCCATGGAGCCGCCCCCTCTCGCCGCCGTCGTGGCCTTTTCGGGACTGGCGCTGAGCTGCTGCCGCGAGCCCGTTCTGTCCGGTGAGTGAGTGAGTGACACCCGGCGGGGACGCGGGGGAGCCGGGCTGAGCGGACGGAGCCGCTCGTAGATCTTCTGGCGGGGCTGAGCGGCGGCAGAACTGCAGTCTGTCCCCGAACTGTGCGGAGCCGCGGCTGGCACGGAGCTGTGCCGTCCGGCAGCGCTTCGCCCTGGGCAGCCCGCTCTGCTGCTAACAGCCAGCCCGGGGCAGCGCGCTGCAGCTCGGTGATCTTTCAGCTCCCCTCCAGCCGAAGTCGTTCTGTGATGTTGTGATCGGGTTTGCGATAACATCCCTTCCTTATCGGCAGTTCGGTGCGCGGTGCCAGGTCCGGAGCGGCTGATCCGGACGGTCCGAGTGTCACAGCCACCGGATGCGCGGTCCTCTTAGATGTGCCCTGAATAGCTGAATCTTCCTTATTCTGCTTAATACAGAATTTGCACTGCTTCCTCTAGCTGTGAATAGACACTTGCTTATCTTCACGTTTTGTAGGTACACTTAAAATCACGGAATGGTTGGGGTTGGAAAAGACCCCCGAAAGCCGTCTGCTCCCACTGCCTGCAGTGCACAGGGACACCCACAGCTCCAGCAGTGCTCACAGCCCTGTGCCCTGAGCGTGGCTGTGTGCAGGGATGGGGCAGCACCAGCTCTCTGGGCACCCCGTGCAGTGCCTCACTGCCCTCAGTGTCAAAACTTCTTCCTTATACCCGACTTAAACTTCCCCTCTTTTTGTTTGAAACCATTTCCCTGCATCCTATCAATCCTACCACGTCTGATTATCAGTCTCAGTACCACCAGGCAGCTTTTGGTGCACAGTTGGTAATCCTTTCTCTGTTGAAGTTGAAGAGTGTCATCTTTTTTCCGAACACAACTGTGGACAGAACGCACTGTGTAAGCAGCCAAGTTTCACAGCAGCTGCACGTGAGCACCTGGAGGATATATCCCTGTAGGAGTGTTTGGTTCATAGGCAGAGTAGAGACCTCTGTGCACATCCGTGCTCTGACTGCATACACCCACAGCCACGAAAGGTGGCAGAGATGACTGAGAACAAACAGCTGTGGGGAAAAAGACATGATATTACAAGGAGTGAATGCGTAGCAAAGATAATGGATCCAGAAAGCACAGCCACCGACCTTCCAGTTTGTATTAATTCAGTCACTGAAATCTGCAGTACTCAAACCTCAGTCCTACCATATTTCTCAGTAACTGAAGGGGTGGTGGAGTGGTGAATGTGTTGCCTATGATTAAAGGATTTTCTGAATTTGGTGCTTTTTGTGTTACAAAGACAAAGAAACTGAAAAGTCTGTGAAATGTCAGTTCCATTGAAGCAGTCTTGTTTTATACACTCAGTGCAATGGGCTGTCACTTTTAGTTTCTGTACTTACAGCCTTCATTTAATTTCCCACTCAGAAGCGCGTTTGATTTCCCCTCTTCCCTTCTCTGTTATCTTTCTGTGCAGCAGTAGCGGATCTCTGTGCTGTGGTTTCCTTCCTTTGAGCTGTTGTTTCACCCCAAACCTTTGTGTAAAGCAGCTCTGCTTTGTGTTCCTGGAGCGGCCATCATGCAAATCATCCAGCAGGCAGTTCTAAGCAGGCTGAGATAGTCACCCTAGGCGCTTCGGGGGATCGTGCTAGTACATGCACAGAGCCTAACTCAAAATCCGGAGTTATGAATGGATTTTGGTAGGGTGGAGCCAACGGAGTGGGAAGGAGGCCGGGATTACACGCTGCCAGCTGCTCATTTTGTCATATCACACCACAGCGGTTGTGCAATTGAGCACTGCCTCCATCTGCACAGTGGCTGAGGCCCACGCTGGTAAAATTTCCGGAGGGATTCGGTCTGCCACACTTGACAGTGGAACAACAGATTTAAAACTTCACAAAGAAAACAAATGGGTGTATTAAGGAGCAGAAATTCCTCCGGGGCTACATCATGCATTCTTAGTTCCAGTGATAAAGAAGCTCAGGACAAGTGTGGTGGTGGAATCAAACCGCTGTCCTCTTCCAGGCTGTGCCAATGGATGCTGAAGATGAGGTTTGACCCAATGTCATTCTGACCACTCTCTGCTCTGAACCTACACTAAATATGACCGTTTCGGAGCAGCTGAGGACCTCAAAAGATGATGTGTGTGTGCCTGTGTAGGATGAGAGATTTTTAAACTACATACAGAACGTCTCTATACTGCGAAGGGGAAACCTTCCGCTTCATTGTCCTCGTGGCATCACAGCAGGCTTTCACTGGCCTTATCCTCCCCAAAATAATCTATTTTCCACCATAACATATTATGGAACAAGGTTCTTTCCTGACCAATCCTATGAAAATATGCAAATGAACATTTGGTTCAATCAATAAAACTGCATCTTCAAAGAAAGCCATTGCGCTACTAAAAATATTTTTAATAATGACCACAGAAGCCATATTTGTCTCTTTGATCTCCTGAAGCTTCTTCTGGTTTTAATCAGCGTTCCCACATGCAGAATTGTGGCAACCTATGATAATAGAATCTCTATTCGTGTATCCATAGGGAAACAAAAGCTCTCTCATCTGAGGAAGGTAATTGGGTGCTGTGCCCCTTCCATCCGTGGGCCTCCATCGCTGCTGGGGTGTCTTGGCATCGGTTAAGTGGTTTCTGTCCTTTCCTCTGTGCCTTACTCTCTCATTGAAGTGTTTCTGCTGTCTAATTATACCCTTTCAATCAAATTAGAGACTGCAGCATCTGGTTAGTGCCTGTAACTGTTGCCATCTGCACCTAGATACAGTGCTTGCGTTTAAGGAGGAGTGCTGCGATTGCAGGCTGCAGCAAGAGCAAGGAGAGTGGCTCTGGTAGAATGGAAATCACCTGAATCTCTTCTTAAAGCACTGTTAGAACGCATGCATCAGGCACCTGACACACAGTCCTTGTTGGACTCGGCCCACACTCTTATCCACGTACATTTTAGGAACCTTTCCTTATTGCTCCAACCTTGCAGAACGTTTAAAGTCCTGGTTGTTACACTTCTGCAGCAAAACCTCGTATTTCAGTGGCAGAAGTTTTCATTTAGCCTTGTTTATTCTTTTATCCGAATATCCTTAAAAGAAAATGCCGCTTCTCATGGGAATGTTGCTGGTAGGATCTCTCCTGCTATCCCTACCCAGAGCAGACAAATAGACAAGTAACTTGATTATTATTTTTTTCAGTGAAGTAGGAATGAGTTTGTTACTCTGAATTTTCAGTGCAAAGCTATGTATGCACACCAGTCATACAAGAGCACTCTTAAACCATCCTGAATCTCCATCTCTTCGGTCTCCAATTCGTAGCATCATTGAGTGCATCTCTGAGAAATGATGGACATTGAGGAATGCTCAGTGGGTGAAAATCAGATCAGAGAGTCACAGGATGGCTTTGGTTGGAGGGGACCAACCCTGCCATGGGCTGGCTGCCCCCCACCAGCTTAGGCTGCCCAGGGCCCTGTCCATGGCCTTGGAGAGGAAGGATGTTTGAGCATAGCTGTTTTCTTTGCTTTTCCTCTCATTTGTGCAGAGGAGACTGCAGAGGACATAAAGATGTTTGTATTATCTCCATCACTCATCATTTGGCACAGAATGAGTATTTCTCAGATAACTGGACTTGCCATCAAGGACTTCAGAGCTGCAGACCAACACATAGATGTCCATGTTAGAAAATCACTGGAAGCCAGTGCAGACTCTGTAGCTTCAGTGTTATATCATCAGTGCCTCATTCAGGACAGCAGTCAGACTGTTACATTTTGCACTACCTTAATTTTTCAAATGATCCTTCAGTGGTGCCCATGTGGAGTGCAGGCAGCCATACAGTTCCACAGTAACAAAGGCAGAAATGATCATTGTAAGGTCCCTACATTGAAGAAGAAACCGAAACAGATGGAAAAAATTTCTACTACAGCTGCTGTTTGATCTTCCAAATGTTGATCTGGCTCTAATAAAACTAATTGTGAACCTGTATCTCACACAGAACGCTCGCTCAGAGTGGACAACCATCCCAGTTTGTTTTCTGCTTTTTGCTTTCTGGTATTTTCCTCTTGGTAGGTACTTCTCCAGACTCAGCAATCACTTAAAGGAAGAGTTATTTGACTTCCATGGTTCTGACTGTGATTACTGCTGTTTGCAGGCTTTCCCCGAAGCAGTAGATGCAGCAGTCAGTAGGTGGTTAGTAGAGGGAAGTCATGGTGAACAAAGACAAAGGTACTGAGCGTGCTGAGGGTCCTGCAGTGCTGGGAATTTTATAGGGAACCCTACAAAGTGTAACGCAGTAGATCTCAAGGTAGAAGAAAGTAGGGCTGAGGTTCTTTTTATTGAATGGCTGTGCTTACATGAAACGTTTGTACTTCAGTGCTGTGGCAAAGTAACTGTTATTAATCACTGAGCATTATTTGCCATTATCCAAATGAAAGTTTCCAACTAGATTGCCTCTAAAAAAACGAACAAAAAGTATTTCATTTGATTTTGTTTGTTCACAGCTGCTATATTTCATAATTTAAAATAAAGCTTTGTTGTTTCTTTTCTTCTGGGATAGTCAGTGTTTTCCCGTGGTATCTCTCTTCCTCCCCTAACAAAACTAATGAATGCACACAATGCTCATCCAGTTCCAACCCCCTGCTGTGTGCAGGTCACCAACCAGCAGCCCAGGCTGCCCAGAGCCACATCCAGCCTAGCCTTGAATGCCTGCAGGGATGGGGCATCCACAGCCTCCTTGGGCAACCTGTTCCAGTGCCTCACCACCCTCTGGGTGAAAAGAACACCTCAGCCTGCACAGGAACAACGCAGGTATTGTTGCAGCCATCCATTACCTTGACAGCAGCATGCTGTAGCTAAGAGGAACAAAGAGAGATCCGGCTCTTCCTTCCACACCATGTCCTCAAAGTACTAAAAAAGAAAAAAGGCTGAAGATGAAAACGAAAGGCAGTTGCTGCTGCAAGTTAAAGCACGGGCCAGTCTTAGCAGATCCTGCAAGGGCTGATGTTAACTTCTGTTCAGTCTGTGTGCCAGATCGCGTTCAGGTACTGTAGCATTCCTTACATTGCTGGGGAGATGTTAGCACACATTGCTTCCAGTTTGGAACTGAAAAGCAAGAAGAGTCGTAGCACTAAAATGATGAAAGCACCTTTTCTGGCCGTGTTTGTCCCTCCTCACAACTGCTTTGTTATACCATACGTTATTGTGTCCATCCAGTTTATGTTTTCCCCCCCTTTCCATCAAACTCTGCTCTTTATTTTGCTGCGACAGGAAAGCTGTGGTGTCCACTTCAAAGCAGGAGAAGCGCTGAAGGACAGTGGCACCGCCGGTGACTCAGAGCCTCTTTTTTTGTATGTTTACACAAATGTTTGTGGTGACTCAAATACTGGAAATTCAGAGCTGCGTTTTCAAGGAAATGCACGTAGCCCACCCGCCCGGCTAACGAGGCCGGGTTAATTAAAGTGAGGAGAAGTGTTAATCTGAAGCTTGTTTTTTGCTCAATCAGATAAGTTTCTCTTCAGGAGCACCGCGCCAGGGCCAGGTGCAATGCTCTCCCTTTCCTTCAGGGCACTGGAGTAGAATATCTCTGCAGCTGTTCCATGAGAATGAATGCTATCAGATAAAAAGAGAGAATGCTGTCAGATAATATGGAATGCTGCCCAGCCTGCAGCTAAGGACAGACGTTTGTGACTTCCCCCAGTAACGCTACCAGCACAGGGCCATGCTTATGGCCACGGAAAACAGGACAACATTTTAAGTATATCACAGAATGTTGCATTTTAATACTATTTTTTAATAAATTCATGGATGATAAGTGTTATCAAATAAAATTGATTTCTTTATGTTCTTTCTGGCACAGGTTGCCCAAGGAGGCTGTGGATGCCCCATCCCTGCAGGCATTCAAGGCCAGGCTGGATGTGGCTCTGGGCAGCCTGGTCTGGTGTTTGGCGACCCTGCCCACAGCAGGGGGTTGAAACTGGATGATCATTTTGGTCCTTTTCAACCCAGGCCATTCTGTGATTCTTTATGGCAGTTGTTTCTGGAAGATTGGATCAGAGTAGATTGTCCCTCTTCATTGTAGAGGAGTTGGACTGTAGGTGAGCTTTAAAGGTCCCTTCCAACTCAAACCCTTCTGTGATGATTCTGTGAGAGCCACACAATGACTGATGTTGGAAGGGATCTCTGGAGGTCATCTTGTTCATCCCCTCACCTCAGGCAGGGTCACCTGAATCAACTTGCTGAGGACCATACTCAGATGTATTTTGAATATCTGCAAGGAGAGAGAATCCATCACCTCTCCGGTAGACCTGTTCTAGTGATCAGTCACCTTCATAGGGCATCTTTTAAAGAACTTTTAAAATCAGGATATAAATGTTTGCAAGATTCACACCTACAAAGTCTTTCATTTTGTAAGGGATGGATGTTCACAAACGTAGTTAATTTGGAATGAGAGCTGGGCAGTGTGCTGATAAGTAGCAGACTGATAATGTCATGTACTGTCATGTTTGGAAAATCAGCAAGTTACAAATTCAACCTAACAAGCAAAACAAAGAGAAAGCAGTAAAAAATGTGATTTTTTTTTCATTCAGAATATGTACTTGATTGTATTAATCACACTTCAGTCCCAACCAAGGTATCTTATAAAGAACTGAGTAAAAATCATAGAACCAAACCATTAGAATGGTTTGAGTCAGAAGTGACCCCCAAAGGCCATCTGCTCCCAGTGCCTGCAGTGCACAGGGACACCCACAGCTCCAGCAGTGCTCACAGCCCCGTGCCCTGAGCGTGGCTGTGTGCAGGGATGGGGCAGCACCAGCTCTCTGTGCACCCTGTGCAGTGCCTCACTGCCCTCAGTGTCAAAGCTTCATCCTGTTTAAATCTCCCCTCTTTAAATAGTGAAATCATAATCCCTTTAATAGGTGTTTGGGTCTATGGGAAAATTTACGGTGCAAACAGCATCCTCAGTTGCCTAAACAGTGGAGGAAATCTGTTAGTGAAAGGAAACTGGAGTCTTGGGGATGGGAGAGAGGGCAAGGGAAGAGCAAGTAAACACCAAATCTACATATATTCTATTCTCTCTCTTTCCATTTCTTCCCAGAATGTTATACAGCAAATGGGGCCGATTACCGTGGCACACAGAACCAGACCTCCCAACACGCAGGGAAGCCTTGTCTCTTTTGGAATGAGACCTTTGAGCACCCTTATAATACTTTGAAATATCCCAATGGGGAAGGAGGGCTCGGTGAGCACAACTACTGCAGGTAAGGACTATCTCATTGCCACCAATGTTGCCTCGATGCAGCTTTAAGCAGTTGGCACAAATTAGAAGCATGTCTGAACCATGAGTATCCTGTTTTATCCTGCGATCAGAACCCTGAGTCTTTGGCTCAGCACACAAGTACCATTGGTAGAATAACAGAGAAGTTATGTTTGAGGCATCACAGCACGCTTCACGTGTTATAACTACAGTGATTTGAACATCCTGTCCATTTCTGTTGTTTTCTTGGCATGTAATTGCAATGGGTTCAATGTTAGAGCAAAAACAGTGTGAAACTCAGGTTCAGTAAGATTTATTTTTACATGGCATATTTTCACTCACTCGCTCTCTCTCTTTTTTTCCCCCCAGGAACCCTGATGGAGATGTCAGCCCATGGTGCTACATTGCAGAGCACGAGGATGGAATATATTGGAAATATTGTGAGATTCCATCCTGCCGAAGTAAGAGAACCATGTAATTAGTTCAGGCCTGTGTCTCTGCTGAGCGGAGGTTGGCAGTTATACAGCAGTGGGTAGTGATTTTCCAGCAGAAACTAGGACAAGGCCAATCAGCTTATTTTCATTTGCAAACTAAGCAATATTTGAAACTGATCTCTGGAGTTAATGACAAGGTTGCTGTGTAGTTGTTCCTCCATTGCTGCTCTCTTCATCGCCTCTCAGAATTAGTGGCTTACGTTATTTACATTAAAATAGAAGATGGGGAAGCACTCAAAACATATGGAGTGCTTCTAGTTTTTCTAATCTGATGAAGTATGCCGTTAGCTCAGTACAGTCCAGAGGAGAAGAATGGATAGGAAATGATTAATTAGGTTTTCAAAAAGATGTCTGTGTCTCCATCACTTGTGGTTCATCTCTTAAATGGGTAGCATTAGTTTGATGTGGATAGCACACAGCTATGGAACGGCTAGGAAGAAATAGGGGCAGTAGAAGTGGACGCAGGGAAAAGACGAATAATTCAGATCGCTCTCAAGTTATTCATCTGAACATTCCTTCCAGCATCTGATGTTACCCATGTATGATGCTGCTCACCTTATCCAAAACGCGTTTCTCCTTTCGCGGTTCTTGTCAATACGTTCCCAGATTTTCATTCCTGGATGCTCCAGGATAAGTTCTCAAGAACCACATTTTAAACATATAACTCAGTATTAACACCCATAACTGAACATTTTATTAGGTCTGATCACTGATATATTTTTCTTCTAATTTCTGTGCCTCTATGTCCACGAGATTGCCTCTGCATACACTGTTAAATCAGAGCAGTTGTCCCGATGTCAGCATGCTTCTGATTTAAGGAAGTACCTTTCAGAAGGACCCCCATAATTAATAAATTTGTCTGGGTCCCAAATTAAAGAGTTTGCATTTTCTTTAAAGCTGACAGATTTTGAGCAAAGTCTCTGGATACGTCCCCAGCAAGGCAAATCCTCTCCACTTCATTTGTTCTATGCAAGGAATCCTTGTAAAACAAATCTCACTCATTTTCTCTGTGATGGGGGGGATGAGGATTTATATTTGGACGCTTACTTGCACAGATAATCCAGATTTATATTTACAAAATACCCTTTTGACCAGTAGCAGCTGTTTCGAGCGTTGCGCTGAAATTGGATACTAGAAAAAGGAATTATAGCAACAAAATGTGCACTACAAGTCCATCCAAGTCTTAATGCAAACTTCATGGTTTATGACGTGTAATTAAAAAAAAAGCACTTATTCCTTACTGTATTGTCTGTTTTCAGTAAGCACAGTGATAAACCTCAAAACTAACAAACCTGTGAATTGCGTAATACAAAACTGAGCTTTGTGGTGGAATAAGAAAGCAATTTTGTGAAGAAAACTCATTTCAGTGTTTTGGGGAGTTAAAAATTTGTGTCCTGTAAGCAACCTTTCCATAATTATGTCTGCTACTAGAAAAAACAAGTATAACTTAGTACAAACGATACCCGCCAGTGTAACACCAACAACATGAAACTTCTCTGTTCCCTAGAGAGATTTGCATGCAGTGATTCACTGCAACTACAATTCAGCGTCTGATTTTATCATGGCTTATTCACATGGACTTCACATAGAATGCTGAATTCAGAAACACGTTCTGCACTTGTAAACACGCTGTGTGGAATGCAGCAGTGGTAGATGAGAATGGCTGTCATGGTGCAAAGGACAGTGGTGTCCCAGGGGGGGCTCCCAATGGGCAGTGCCCCACTAGGAGCTTAGTCTTTCCTTTCCTCCTTCTTCTTTTCTTGTGTGCTGGTGTGGGTATAAACAAATAAAAGGGAATAAAGCGGTTTTTGAAGGTCAGAGGAATTAATCAGTCACAGAAATATTTTTATTATCCATATAAATACTTAATGTACACACATAGAACTGTGGGATATCCTGGGTTGGAAGAGTCCTTGGACATCATCGGATCCAACCTGCTGCCCAAAGCAGACTCAGACAACACTGTTATGTTTATACCATCTTTGCTGATTAACTCCCAGCAGCAACACAGCAGTGTCTCAGGTTTAGGACCAGCCCATCAGTAGGCAGAGGGAGAAGGGATGCAGTGAAATCGTGTGTACATGTATGGTAGCCAGTATTTTCTGCGTTGTCTCAGGTCATTTAATCATTTGATGTGGGCCTACTCAAGTACTCCTGGCTCTCTGTGGAGCACGTAGCCATGAGGTTATGTATTTTGTTGACTTAATAACAAAAAATATTGGCTTGGAAATTGCTGTTCACTATTGGGCTAGACTGGTGATTCTCCATGAACAACTGCTTATTCCAAACCACGTGGCAGATTTTGTTTGCTAGATATGAGAAAGCTGAAAGCTCACTGGGACACTGAGGAGACTAATTGGCTTTAGGATTTTACCCAGCTGCTGTGCTTTATTTAGTTACAAAATGCACAGAGTTTTCAAAGGTTGAGACTGGTTTCTTTGCATGGGAAACACTGAAGGATTAATCTTCTGGAGACATGGCTGACGGGTCTCACCAATAAAGCTATTAAGTAGATATAAGTATTAGTACGTGGTTTTAGAAATCCCAGGTCCTCTAGCAAATGGAGCTAGACTGGTGGCTAGGAACTGTTTTCTGGGCAGTGAAATAATGTGCTTTACAGAAAACTGAGCTCTCTGAGAATTATCTGTCCAGATGTACCCAGCTGGGTGGGGTTGTAAATGGGAATTTCCAAAGGTATGTTAAATCAGGCTGTAACTTGAATTCGCAGTGCTTAGAAGCTTGCTGCTGCAAGGCATATCCAAGCCATAAATCCATGCAAGCATTTGGTGTTGAAAGTGTATCATTCTTAGGAAAGAAAATTATTTTATCAACAATATTTGAAGTAACATGATCTAAGAATTAAAAAAAAAACCCCACACATACTTGAATTTGATTCTTCCTAACTGTGTTCTTTCCTTTGCTCTTCTTTCTGGTATTGTAGTCATCCTCAATTGCAGATCACTGAGAGCTATTCCAAAAGAATGGGTAAAAGATCATCTTTGCTAGAATGGGACAAATAGAAGTTGTGAATTTAGGGAAATGTTTCATTGCACACTGGGGAGGTATAAGGAAATTCACCAGTGGGACTTCCCAAACCCAAAGCAGAACTGAGCCATTTGTGAAGATGGCTCAGTTCAGAAAATATTATTGCACTCCTATTGAATGCATATGGGAGGACAGAAATACTGAGGCACTCAGTTTGCTAAGACAAAAGGAAACAAAGCAAAATATAAACCAAAACTATGATGATTTTTGGATGTTCCTACCAACTGAATTATTCGATTTATTTCTATGTCTATAATTCTTTTCTTTCTCTATTTCATTCTAAGTGTGTGAGCAGACATGACAATTAGACAAGGGATAATTTCATGTCCTTTACACAGAAGCATACTCCACACTGTTTCTCTAGAAGTCATGGCTAAATTCCAGTGATTAGATGAAAAGCACAGAAAAAAACCCCCACAAAACAACGAGTTATGCCCTGAAGAGAAAAAACTCTCTTTATGACCACCCATAGCGATCAGTGAGCCTTGAAACACTGGTAGGACGGGGGGAAATGGTTTCAAATTAAAAAAGGAGAGAGTTAGATTGGATATAAAGAAGAAGTTTTGACACTGAGGGCGGTGAGGCACTGCACAGGGTGCACAGAGAGCTGGTGCTGCCCCATCCCTGCACACAGCCACGCTCAGGGCACGGGGCTGTGAGCACTGCTGGAGCTGTGGGTGTCCCTGTGCACTGCAGGCACTGGGAGCAGACGGCTGTAGAGCATTGCAGGTATATTGCTACAAGGCTGTGATGCATCTCCTGTCATTTATCCCTGGGAAAATTTGGAAAACATGACCTAGAGTAACATTTCTCGCGGTGTAAAACCAATAGAAGAAAACACAGAGAGCTGCTTAGTAACAGGAGAGTAGTTGAAGTGGTTGGTGTCTTGAAGAGAGCACAGGCTGCCCAGGGGGGTGGTGGGGTCACCATCCCTGCGGGTGCTCAGTGAACGTGGAGCTGAGGCACTGATGGTAAAGGCATGGTGGGGCTGGGTTGGAGTTGGACATGGTGATCTTAGATGCCTTTTCCAACCTTAATGTTTCTACGACTGTTGTCTGTTATTCTTGCCAGTGCCAGGGAATCTGGGCTGCTACAAGGATCATGGAGAGCCACCTACTTTGACTGGCACCAGTGAGACCTCCAATAAACTTACTATCCAGGCATGCATCAGTTCCTGCCGAAGTCAACAATTTAAGGTGATTTCTTTGATGTACATTTACAAAATGTTTTAAAAGACTGAATCACGGGTGTCCAACCTTTTGGCATGCTTGGGCTGCACGGAGTGAAGAGAAATTGCCTCGGGCTGCATGTATGCTGCTCTAGGTGCCCTCTATTCCAGCTTTCTTGCTACTTTTAAGCAGGATCCTAACAGCTCAGTCTGTGGTGGGACCTCTGACCACAGACTAATCAACTTCTCCAAAGCACATGCATTCTGCTGCCAGCTTGCTTGTTCCCACAACCTCCTGCTGTTACACCTTTAAACATGACCCCTCCCTTCCTTATGCATCTTTGTTGTCAAAGTTTGCAGGCATGGAATCAGGTTATGCCTGTTTCTGTGGAAATAACCCTGACTACTGGAGATACGGGGAGGCAGCCAGTACGGAATGCAACAGTGTTTGCTTTGGAGACCATACTCAGCCTTGTGGTGGGGATGGCAGAGTCATTCTTTTCGACAGTAAGTATTGAAACAGGCTGAGTTTTTCCTCAAAGGAGAGGCCTCAAATGCTGAGCAAATTAGGGGAAAGGGCTTAAAGGCAATGAGAACTGTTGAGCAGAAAAACACCTAAATTCAGTATAAAATAAAGCTGCTTTCCACTTCAGCTTAAAATTCCCATCCATTAATAATGTGAAATAGCTCTTCAAAGAAGCAACGCCTGCTTAGGCAACTGACCCACGCTCCAGAGATTGTCTCTTACTTCTCCAGAGCTGGTGCTAACTCTGCTCTCACAAACACTCTGTTTTTCCTTATTAAGCCAGACAAGACTTGCTCTAACTCAGTTACACAATGCAACGCAACAGAGAAGAACGGTGCTGGGGAAGGGTGTACAGCAAAGGTGCAAACAAGTCAAGTTTGCTATTTGACCATCACTGATTCCATAATTTCTTATACATGGAAATCTTCCTTCCTATTACTTGATGGCCACTGGGGATCTCTTCCAACTCAAGCCGTTCTTTGATTCTATAATACTACACTTTTTTCAATTTCTCCCCCAATGGAGCTTTGTAGTGCTTTCCATATTGCACTAGCATGCAGGCTCATGCTGCTATATCCACTGATTCCCTTGCTCTTGGCTTCCTGAATTCATGATGAGTAGAAGCATCCTTTGGGGCATTTCTTCTTTGAAATGACCGAGGGCTCAGCCAGCTGTTACCCTGAGCACCTGCACTGTCTTTTCTGGTGAGTAGAAAAAAGAAGTCATTCTAGTAACCACCACCTGTTTGGTTTTGCTGATTAGCAACACCTGCTCATCTCATTCCTCTTCCCCAAGGTCACTGACTTCTAATCTACAGATTGTGTTGTTCGCCCAGAACCCTCACTCCTGATACCTGCTGGCTTCCTGAGCTCATCATTTCCAAGTCCTTTATACACACAACACTTATCTTATCCTTTTTCTTGTCTCTTCCTTTTTCTTGTCTTATCCTTTTTCTTGTCTTATCCTTTTTCTGTCTCTTCCTCACCTGCAGAGTCCCATGGGCCTCAGTGTAACATCCGAGTGTAGAGAAGAGATAGGGACAGTAGAGATGCAGTGGCATTGAAGAGTTCTGTGTCTTTAAACTGAAGTTTTTACACCCATCTGTAACTTTTACCTGTGTGTTTATGTGCTGCTGTCATGGCCTAAAGCTGTAACGTTCAGACCCACAGCACAGAACTCTTCCAGTTCTACACAGAACTGGATGGGAAGGCTGCCCAGACTGCTGTGGGTGCCCCATCCCTGGAGGCATTCCAGGTTGGTTGGGGCCCTGGGCAGCCTGAGTGTTGTGGGGCAGCCAGCCCACAGCAGGGGTTGGGGCTGGGTGAGCTTTAAGATCCCTTCCAACCTAAGAGCTATTCTGATTCTCTTATTCTATTTCTATTCCATACGGGGAGCTGCTATATTTTGTGGAGCACTAACCATTAGCATTCATAATTAATATTGCCTATTTGAAGAACACCTTGCGTTTCAGTTGTTACAAACAGCACAGCCAACCGTGGCAACACCTACAAGCCAGTTGCAAAGAGCAAACGACACCCACAGTCCAATTTCAATTCTAGCAATACAGTCTATTCAAACAATTCCATCTACTCAACTACATCACCAGCTGTTAGCACGGAGTGAGTGCCAAACACAGATTCTCTGTGGGCCTTTGTACCTCGGTGGGATCTTTCGCATTCTTTACATTCTCCTTCTTTCATGCACTCTCAGTCCCTCTGTGGGGTCTTTTATAGTGCAGCACTGGTGTGAGGTTTGCTGTTATGACGAGGCCGTGCTCCAGAAAAAAAAAAAAGAGAAGTGTTTTCACTTTATTTTCTGGCAGACATGCTCTACTTTTCCTCATTCCCCCAGCTCGCTTTTAATTTGCATTTATTGGAGGCCTTGCTCAGAGCCCTGTGAAAACTGAAACACTTCAAAACATGTATTTACTTTCTCCAAGGACTCTATTACAGTGCTTTAAGCTTTCAGAGAGAAGAACTCTATGGGGGAGTGATCATTCTGATTCAAACAGTTCTGTCTGAAATATACTATTTCATATTGAATGTTTAGGATATATACATATATGTATATATAAATACAAATACATGCATCATTTGTGTTGGAAGAGACCTATAAAGGCCATCTGGTCCCACTGCCTGCAGTGCACAGGGACACTCACAGCTCCATCAGTGCTCACAGCCCTGACCCCTGACCATGGGTGCCTCCAAGGACATCTATATGTATATATATATAAATATATCCATCAAATCAGTTGGCTGGCATTGAACTTCCTCTCTAGATTCATTGCTGAATAGGTCTGCACTATGACCCTGAACAATCATTACGGATTGTAAAGTGTCACTGGGCACATCTTTGTACTGAGCTTAAAGGATCGGATCGTAGCAAGTAATCCAGTAGATTTGCATTAGACTTCATAACAGGCACTTACTCAAGTTACTTCATGACAATAAGGTTGATCAGGAGAAAGGATGCTCAGAAGGCACATATAAATGCTCACAGAGACTATTAACGAACTAGAACATCGTTCACATGAAGACTTTATTTTGCTCTGAGAAGGCTTGGGGTTGGGTTACTGATGTGGATAAATGCCTGATGTGAGGGTGTACAGATAAAGCCAAACTCTTCTGTTTGTGATTCTGAGTCAGAGTAAGGGGCCAGAAGGAACATATCCCAAGCAAATGCCATATGATACATTGCTCCCAGTGCTGTGGGAGGTAAATAACCTGAGGCCAAGAGACACTGGAGGAGCAATGCCCTCATGCATAAGGCCCACCCAAGTGCATGCCCTAAAGTTTGTGCATTATTTCCACAGAGTGGAAAGCTGTGTGTGATGGTTGCATTGCCTGCACTGGTTTCTCTTTTTTAATTTCTTTTCCCCCTCCTCTTTGTTTCACAGCCCTTATTGGTGCCTGTGGAGGGAATTACACTTCTGCTACAGCTGTGATCTATTCCCCAGATTTTCCTGACACATATGGCACAGGCAAAGTCTGCTACTGGACCATACAAGTCCCAGGAGCATCTCAAATCCTCTTCAGCTTTGTCCTTTTTGAAATCAAAGATGCTACAGACATGGTGGAATTGCTGGATGGCTATACCTATCATGTTCTAGCTCGTTTTAATGGGAAGAATCGGCCTCCCCACACCTTCAACATCTCCTTGGATTTTGTTATTCTGTACTTCTTTTCAGATGAAATCAACCAAGCCCAGGGATTCGCTATCAGATACAGAGGTAAGAGGTTAGCCTTGTTCTTTGTGCATTTCAGTGTGTCGTTAAAGCATGTAATTCACCCAAAAACTCCAGTCAGCTGTGCGTCATCCACAGCAACATTTGCACCTTCAAAAAGTCAGTCCTATATGCATCTACCTATCAATACAGATTGGAAAATAAAAGAGCTGGAAAAAAAACAAAACAAAACAACACAACAACAACAATAACAACAGCAAATAATGATAGTCCAACAGCATCTTTGGTTCAACTGAGCTCTTACCAGTGATGCACTCCAGTTATCTAAAAGGTCATCAGGAAAAACACTGCAGCCCTTCAGTCCCACTGCTCTGATCAACAGCAGTGGAAACAAACATTCTGAGAACCCCTTCTGGGTGAAGCCCAAATTTGACATCAGACAGAACGTGCTGCCTGCAGTTCCCTAAATGGACCAGAGAGAAGCATGTGGCTGTAAAGTACAAAGCACAGCCCAGTTACACCTGTGTAGTTGTTGATGTAATCACACTGTTGTGTTTTCAGCTGTGAAGGACAACGTGCATCAAACCAAGATTGCAGCGAATCAGACCCTTTCAGAGAAGAGAAATGAACACACAAATTTCAGCATCAACGCAGCTCGGTCGTCAAAGATACTTTATGTCATCACGACCAGTCCAAGCCATCCCAGCAGCTCCATGCCTGGTAATGTCATCTCCATTTAAGATGAGATTCATTTGCTCTGCTTTGTTACTTACTCTGTAGAAGCAGTGAAATCAGATAGGAAGTCAGAGCACTTCATGGAGGTGGCAAAAGGTGCTGAAAAAAAAGAGCATGCATTGATAGAGCCTCGAATTAGCTTGGATACTGCATGCAGCTCAGATATCCCAGTGCACAAAAGCGACTGCAGTTCTACAAAGAGGGCTGTAGACACAGATGGAGCAGGTGAATGGGTGGGGGAGGTGCCACTGAAATGTGCTGTGTGTCTGGAACCAACTTTCACGGCATCTTTACATTTGAGTTGGAAATAACACACATTCCCTTTTCTTTTTCCCTTTCTTTTTTTTTTTCTTTAATTCTTCTCTCTTTCTTTTCTGTTTTCTTTTCATTTCCTTTTCCTTTTCCATCTCCTCCTTTCTCCTTTCATTTTTCTTTTCCAGAGTGGACAATATACAGCCTCACAGCACTGCTCATCCTAAGCGTTACAGCCATATTGGCCAAGATATTTCTCCACGTTGCCATGAAGTAAGTACAGAGCAGAGCTGTCCTGGGTGAATTGACATCTCAGCTCTGCTCTCCCTTGTGGTACACTTCATTTCTCTGCCTCCTGATACTTTCATATTGGTCAGATTCAAAATCAAGTTACGTGATACATATTTATATCCTCAAGAGTGTGCCTGTATACAATATATACATACTATGTGTGTACATATAGAGAACCATAGAATGGTTGGAGTCGGAAGGGACCCCCAAAAGCCATCTGTTCCCACTGCCTGCAGTGCACAGGGACACCCACAGCTCCAGCAGTGCTCACAGCGCCGTGCCCTGAGCGTGGCTGTGTGCAGGGATGGGGCAGCACCAGCTCTCTGGGCACCCTGTGCCTCACCGCCCTTATTAATATTGACTTTCTTTTAATTAAATATTGAAAAGATTCCCAAAACCCCACAAACGTAAGAATTTGTATTGTGGCATAACACACAGGTTAAAAAACTGATTTTATTACTATCTTTCTATACCATTGTTTGGTCAAAAACCAACCAACACTGCAAATCCTGATACAACTGTGCAGTATGTTGGGGGAAAAATAAGTGTTGTAGATATAGTGGAACTTATCAGCATTGCCAATACAAAAATAACGTTATCACACTAATAGTAGCAGCTTCCCTGGTACCTTAGCACTGATCATGAGGTAATGCTTATTTCCCAGATCCCATCAGATCCCACCTGCAAATGAAATAGAGGATTCCAGTGAGGTTACTGCTGCTGGAGAGATCTGGAGTATATTCTATCGGCCATCCACATCAATATCCATCTTCAAGAAACAGCTGCGAAGCCAACAAGACGACTGCAACCCACTGGTGGGAAACTGAAGTGTCTTTTATTTTACAGGAACCAATCTTCTTAAAATCCAGGTGATTTGGGAATAACCCCCCTTTTTTTTTCCCTCCCACTCTCATACTTGTCTTCCAAAAAGTCAATTCCCAAAGTCCTTTGCGTGACTTTGTCTGTCTGCTGTTCTCTTTTGTATACTGGTGGCAATGGATTTAAGCGATGCAATAATTTTCAAATATCTGGAGCTCATCAGATCTGCAGTGCTGTCAATTACTGCGAGAAGAAAGCGTTCCCCTGCCTGTGAAATGAAAGCAGAGCTACATTTTTAAGACTAATGCCCTTAATTGCCAAAGAACTGAAACATCAGCGGGGATTTGATCTGTGGAATAATTTCTCTTTGATTGCAACAGACAGCATTAACTGTTTTTTCTCTTTGGTAGAAGATCTGTTCACCTACAATGCTGACTTCTCATCCCACCACTGGGGATCAGCAGTGAGTGTGTCAGCCTCAGCAAGTCCAGCCCTGTGAGATACTTCAGAACATAATGACAGTGCAGGTCAGATAAGTTGTTGGGAACAGCTGGCATTCATGAGCAGCTCCTCCAGCTACGGCAGAGCGAATTCAGTGAGAGCCATTAAAGTTCTGTAAACCTGGTTAGGACAGAGGGTGTAAATATGAGTTTAAATATGCTGATGCTCAATAACATAGCAGACACGTGAGCATGCAGACACTGCTATGTGCCTGCCAGAGGTCACTGAGTTCACAGTCAGTATCTGCCCTCCTGTTATCAACATGGAAAGCTCCTCCCCTCACGAGGGCTGTAGATTTCATTGACAGAAATAGGGCACTTAAAAACCAAACGGCGACACGTTGTGCCTTGCTGCTCCGAAAGTAATGCCTCCTGTTTCGTGGCGTCGGCGCCCTTGTGGCTGATGGCGGTGGTGCGGCAGTAGAGGTTGAAACTTCCCACCGGTATCCCATTCCACTGCCGAGTGACAGATGGCAGCAGAGGGGCACTGACAGCATGGTGTCTGATGTGGAAGTGTGTATAAAGCAAAGGTGTGTCGATGAATTCTTCCATGCAGAAAAAAAATGACCCCGTTGACATTCGTAGCTGCTTGCTGAACGCTTATGGAGATCCAGCAGTGGATGTGAGCGCAGTGAGGGGTGGGGGTGCGTTTCAGCACGGCAGCTGTGGGTCACTTCTGCTGGCGCAGGCTTTTATGTGCACGGCACGCAGGCTCTTGCTCATCACCGGTGAAAATGCATAGTTAATAGTGGTGACTATGTTGAAAAATAGTGCTTTATAGCTGAGAATTTCCTCTGTCAAATAGTGCTATCGTGCTCTTTGTATCTATTGTAATTTGTATGGAAATAAATAGGAGGCATTACTTTCAGAGCAACCTACATAGATCTAGAGTTTGCCTGAACTGAATTGATTCCAGCTCCATTTATGTACCACAGATGAGTGCCAGAGACAGCTGAACAATTGCACAATAAGTGCTTAATAGAAACAGAACTTCGCTAAGCCAGCAATTATGGAATTGTTTATATCAAAAGTGGAATACCATGGAAGCAGCTAGTAATTTCTTGCATAAGCTGTTGGAAAGGTTACAGGAAAAGTTAATCACAGTATTGCCAACGATTAAGACAGCAAGAATTGTGAAGTACATTGGTTCTCTCTTACACGTTGGACTAAAAGACATTGACTCTTTCAGACTTAACAAGACATTGAAAATTGCCTTCTTAACAGTCAGTTTTTACAAAGACCTGCAGCAAAACAGTTTGCTTTCTATCCGTGCTTAGTCTGGTTCACTGATGGAAAACAGAGAGAGAGAGAATAAAATCAGATCCCAAAGAGTTACGCTGTGAGCACAGTGTGAGGAAGCTTTGCCTTCTTTTCTTACCAAAAATTCTCCAGCAGTCTGACCTAGGCAGTCAAAGGAAAATTCATAAAGCACGTAATTAACACCAATAACTTGAAAGAATACCCAGTGACTGATTTCTACCTGCTGCAAAAGTAAGGACAAAATAGTTTTTTCATCTCTTCACTCTTCAGTGGTGCAGTTGTATGTGGCCAATGCAAATGGTACCCATTTAAATGGCACTTTATCACGTTTGCTGTAAGGGTTTAGGAGAAGAAGAAGAAAAGCCTGACATGCACAACTGTTATAATCCCACATGATTCAGCACACAGAAATGCCTCTATGACACCGGCAGCTGACAGCTGCCCTGAATACCACGTTAGCATTTGCAGCATTGACTTCAACGAACAGAAAATGACTGCAGAACAGGAATTAGTTTGGACCGTTACCTGAACGGCCTTTTGAGCTCTTCGCCAGCAGTTCCCTCAGTAGGTTGGACAGGCTGCAGATACAGCATGGGTCACAGCTTCACATGCTTTGACAACAAAACCATCACAAGGAACCACCTCTCACACACATTCCAGCCCCTGTCCTGGTGCCTTCCTCGCTGACCTGTGCTGCTATGGTTGGCTCCATAGTGATGCAGTACACTTACAATTACCATCGTTTTTTCTTCCTGAGGTTAGGGTAGAGTAGGATAGGATAGGATAGGATAGCACAGTGTGGGGTAGGATTGGATGGAATGATCAAATGGAATAATAGAACAGAACAGAATAGCTCAGTTGGAAGGAACCTGCCAAAGATCATCAAGTCTTCATGGCAGACCAGTAGTTAGAGCATATTGTTGAGGGCATTGACCAAATGCTTCTTGAGCACTGACAGGCACGGGGCACCAGCTAGCATTGCCCTCCCCCAGATAATTTCAAGGACCTCAACATCATTTTTATATTGAGACCAGAACCATATGCAGTATCCAAGGTGAGGCCACAGTACAGCTAAACAGCAGGAGAATCACCTCTTTTGACAGGCTAGCTGTGCTACGCTTACTGCACCCCAGAATCTGGTTTGCTCTCTTGGCTGCTACCATGGCTATGTGGAGAAGAAGCCATAGCACTAAGGGTGCACCAGGAATAGGAGCAGTGAGCACTTTGCTGGTACCCCAGCACTGCATTTTGTGAAGCTGTCTCCTAACTGTGTGCAAGCTGTGGGTGCCTCATCCCTGGGAGCACGCTGGGATGGGACCCTGAGCAACCTGATGGGGTGGGGGGCAGCCAGCCCACGGCTGGGGGTTGGAGCTCGATGATCTCTAAGGTCCCCTCCAACCTCAGCCGTTCTATGCAGCACGTTGGTTACAGAAGTCCACAGAATGCGTGGACCTCTGCTGGCGGCCAGCAGGAGAAGTGGCCTTCCCAATTCAAAATCTGCTTTTAAAAATAGTTTGTTGACTAAATGATTTTGTATGTACTTTCGTCTTAATATTTTTTAAGTTGGAGAGAAAATAGAGACTATAATTTAAAACAAAAAAAAAGTGTGATGTCATAGTAATATATTTATATATGTATCGGAAATTATTTAATACAGGATATTATGCTTGTATCTTGCTAACGTTTCATAGGAAGATGTTAGTTTACACTCTGAGAAAAATAAATTTTCAATACATTGTAATCATGGGAAAAAAAAAAAAAACAGAATTTATTGGTACATAGGATAGAAGGGCACTAAGGAGAGTAACTCAGCCTCTCAGTTTGGTAGCAGTGATGAAACAATTGCTTCAGGTGCCCCTCTTCCTTTGAATCTCGTGTCTAGCTTGTATTTTTATTTGGTTGTTCATCCAATCCTGCTAATTCATGTGCATATGCTCCTGGGACCATCCTAACATCCAACATCTTCATCTGTTTATTCATTTAAACATTAACATCATCTGACTTGGGGCTTTATAATGCTGCTCATCCAGACAACCCAACAGCACTGCAGAACTATGGTTTCTGTAGTCCAGGATTCCCTGCAGAGGTATAAATGTGAGATTTTTACTGGAAAATGAAGCAGCATCCTAAATGCATCCAGGCCAGCACACCAGCAGGCGTTGGATGCCGCTGGGTGAGCGTGACAAGCTGTTCCAGTGTCACCTTCTGCTCACTGAGCCTTCTCAGCCATTGCAAAAGACTGCTAAAGATTTTCTAGTGCACCATTTTACAGATGGAAGGGTCTACTGCAAAACCATAACTCTCAACAAATACCCAATCCAACCAGCCCAGCTAGTTCTTAATAGCTTACAGAAACCTATTTCCCAACCCTCTGATGACATACACTTTAATGAGAGTTTCACCTGAATATCATCCTAGACATTTTTGAGTAAACTTATCATTCTGCTAACTGGAATGAGAAGTGGAGCCCTATTCCCACAGCACCGCCCCCAGTGCATGCGGGTAATGCAGCTCTCAGCTTTACCGAGCGCTTGTGCTTTTCAGGATGAAATTTTGCATTCCAAAATTCAGTCTGAAAGACAATTTACTGTAAATCCAGGGGATATCCCATGAAATAAATCAGACTGACAAGAAAAGAACAAATCCTGCTTGAGATGACTCACCGCTGAAGTATGTGCTGCGTCTCTATGTGGTCATCCCGCATTCGGCAAATGGCTGCAAGTAACAATTATAAAAAATTAAATGCAGTGAATTGCCGCGGGAGGAGAGCAGTTTGTGCTGCTCAAGTGCAGAAGAGCATTGCGTGGCAGGGGGAGAAGCCCAAGAAAACTCGTTTTCTTTTAGAAACACCACTGTCACACAGGCACCGGTCTCTTCTTGCACAAGAGGGGATTGCTGTGCTCTCCTTTCTTGCCATCCAGTCTATGAGACTCCTTTTAAACTTGTTTATTCTGGAAACGTTTGCCTTATTTTTTTATTTTTTCTTCATTCCCATGAGAGAAATGTATTCTTTACTCTGAATGAGATCCTTTCACATCAAGCAAGTCACAGAAGCTCAGGGGTTCCCTTTCCCATCAAAGATCTGGTTTCGGGTCTATTGTATCCCAGACAAAGACCTGGGCAGGCTGGCTCCAGCTGTAAGAACACAGCCACCTCCAAAAGACACCTTCACCACACGAGGAGCCCACCGAAACTGAGCACTGCATCCTGCACAAACCGCTGTGCAAAACATCAATGACCAACACTGTCGACTATCTGCCTTAGAGTTCAGCAGACACACTCCAAATTGCTACTGCCAAAATGAGACCGTGCTCCAACAGCCAGCATTAGCACTGTGTACGATCTTAGTAAGAAATAACGCTCATCTCCTGGGTGAATTCTGAGGTGACTGAATTACAATGCACTGGAACAGGCCCAGGTGAGAGGGGGAAGAACCCTAATCCAAAGGGTTACCAGGTGGAAACCTTGGTGAGATGGAAGCAACCAAAGGAGAATGGAATCTTTTTGTGTCACTGCACGAAGAACACATAACATACAGAGGCAAACTATTTCAGCAATAGCATATATTTGTGTTTTACACGTGTACATACATGCACGGAGATCGTTAACCACCAGTGATCACATCCAAGCCATTTTCTTCGATGTGTCAATGAATGTCTTTGATCATATTATGCCCTCTGTCGACACGACGAGAGCAGCACAACGCTGATTTTAACTGCAATGGAACCAGTGATTCCATGAGCCGGGGCATGGATTTGGGTTTAGCCTATCTGTTCAACATGTCTTCTCCATTTGTTGCATCCATTTGCACCATGATGGCTCGGGCCTCAAAGCAGTCATAGTTCAGGACAATAGATTATTTTTATCTGAAATTAAAGCACAAATAAGTTCCCTTGCTTCAGGAAACGTGCAGGTTCCAAATAGAAATGAGGACGCCTTCCAGCAGGTGTGTGCCAGCTGCCATGTGATTTGAGCCTTCAGAGACCTGTGTGACCCTCTCACACAGCCTTCTTTCTACACAGAAGTCCAAGAACTGCCCTGGTAGTTACAGACTGCCACCCTGCAGTGTCAAGCTTCATTGCATCTCCTTCCCCATTTCCCACAGCAGAGCACTTAACCCCATCTTTTCCACAGCACGCTTTGGTGCGCTACGGCCTCAATCTTCCTCTCCTCCTTCTGTCTCTACACCTTTGCCCTCCCTTCCTTTGGAACCTTTAACATCTAACTTCCTCCTCCTTAACAGCAAGACCTGCCAGCTGTGAGCAGGGACAGCAAACAGCAGGCAGCGAGGCTGCTGGAAACACAATTAGGAAGGAGCTAAAATCCAGCAGTGGCCTTACACTGAGCATAATGCCCAGTAAGATACTGATTTATTCTGTGTACTCCAGCGTGGCACTTACCTGAAAGTTGAATGGTCCTGGGATGGAATATTACAGCTTGTCTCCAAAGGGGAAGAAAAAAAATAAATCACAAAAGAAAACTTTGCATTTTTTAATCCCATTGTTGTATCTGTGTGTGTAT